TTTTTTTTTTTTTTTTTTTTTTTTTTTTTTTTTTTTTTTTTTGGATGATTTGTTAATATTTTTTTTATCATTATATCCCATTTTTGCTGATTTGTTAATAATTTTTTTTTTTTTTTAGCTATTTTAGCTGTTTAAGCTGATTCAGCTGTTCCTTTTTGGGGGTACATATTAAGACTATTTACGTGTGTATGTAATTTAAGTTTTGCTGCCCCTGCCCACCAATGTATACAAATGTACACCCCCTTACGCATGTTTATAAGCAGGTGACACACTCATATGCATTTCTACGAACATATTCGGAGTTCTGCATACATGTAATAATTTGCGTGTCTCCCCATTTTTGAACATTTCTTCTAAATAGAATCATGTTTTTTTTGTGTTTATTGTAACATACCTTTATCATCTTTTGAACGACAAAATGAATTTAGTAAAAGGCGCCAAAAACAAATCTCAGAAACATTCGCAAAACAAATATGTGAACAACAATAACAAATGTAAGAAAGTTTTTAGTGCACACAGAATTAAGCAGTTAGCTAAGGACAAAAAATTGTTGGATGATGCTTTGTTAGATTGTTATGGAAGGTTCATAGCCTTACTTCCAGAATTCCTACTGAAGGATCATGTGCACCTGTATTTTCAAATTCAAGAGGCATACTGGTGGTACGATGACATGTGGCAGGAAAAATACCCAGACAAGTTACCAAAATTAAGTTTAAAAACATTTGGTTATTTAATATGTGATGATTGTCCAATATTAAAAAAATATGTCCCACCGTCAGCTCATGAGAAGTTCTCCCTAAATTGGAGAAGATATTGCAGAACTATACCTCTGAGAGGTGCAATTCTTTTAAATCATAATTTAAAAAAATGTCTATTGGTAAAGGGTTGGAGCACGGATAGTTGGTCCTTTCCAAAGGGGAAGGTTGACGAATTGGAAGAAGACTCCGTCTGTGCATGCAGAGAAGTTTATGAAGAAATAGGAATAGACATATTCCCATACATCGATGAGAAGGTTTTTATCGAAACGCATATAGAAGACCAGCCCATCAAGTTGTTCATAGTACCAGGGGTAAAGGAAGAAACGAAATTTCAGCCAAAAACAAGAAAAGAAATTGGAGCCATTCGGTGGTTTGAAATAGAAAAACTTTTGCAACATATAAATTTGAAAAATAAAAAAAGTATCCTGTTTGAAAGTAAGAAGGAACGCATTAACGAATGGTTCGTTGGCCCCTTTATTCCTAATTTAGTCAAATGGATCGAAATATTAAGAAGATCTGTGCCAGCAAAAGATATGAAAGGAGGAAAGTCCTTCATATCAGGCAGCATTCAAGCGCATAAATATCAAATAAGTGGTGTTGACGCGGCTGTTATTAAAAAGCTTCAAACGGTTAATTTTAACTCGAAGGAGATAATAAATATCGGTTTGTTTAAAAGCGATGACGATTTGGAAGAATACGAAGATGAGGACGTAAATGATAATGAGGATGATAACTTGCTGCCGGAGGACGTGGATGAAGAGATGGTCTCCAAGCAGGTCACCGCATCGTATGCTAATTATAACAGCGATATTAAAGTCCCAGGAGTAAATAGAAATATGGGTAACTTTACCAATGAGGTAGGTGTTAAGAATAGCAGCACGTCTAGCAGTGTTAGTGGTATGAAGATGGACAAAAGGAGCATCCAACCAAATACGAAACAGAGTAGCACAAATTATTACAACCAGGAAATTGCTTCAATAAGAAGCGAAGGAACTGTTGGTCAAGGTTCACAATTGTACGATGACATGAACGGTAACGATTCGAGACATGCTGTGGACCCCATAGTGGGAGAGGGCGCGTACGTTGAAGAAAGTACATATAGTAGGATGGAGAAAGAACTCATGGGAAATAAAAAGGTGTATGAGCATGTAGACGACGCCATCGTGCCGTTGACCAGAAAAGATATATTATTAAGCAGTTTGGCGCATTTTCCAGATCCAGCCATCATAGCAGGACGATTGAATGGGAATAATTATAGCAACGATGTGGGAAGTAATTACAAGAATAACGCCATTAGAAGTACGTACAACACGATCAGTACAAACAGCAGTTGCACCAATAAGATGAGTAATGAGGTGCAAAAAAAAGATAGTCGCGGAAATGTCGCACATATGGATGTGTATGGAGTGGAGAGTTACCCGACTCCCATAGGCGAAGTTCATAGCAGTGCAGTAAAAATCCCCTCCAAACAGAATAGCCTCAGGGTTAACCATAGCGAGAATAAAAAAAGCAGTGTCAGTATCTATAGCAGTGGTAGTGGCAATGGCAGTGGTAGCAGTGATAACAAGAATAATAATAATATTAATAACAGGAACTGTAATCATAACAACCATAATAATAATAAGGCGTACCATGGGTCGAGCAGCAGCAATGGGTACAAGAAAACTCCAAATGCGCATGGTAATAATTATGGGAAACATTACGGCGAATATGATCCTGCAGGATCGAAGGGGTATCGCTACAGCTTGAATAAGATGCGAATGGGAGGACATTTATCAGCCTTACCATTGAACGAGGTAGGACTCAGAAGCTTTGATGATCAAGACATGGACAAGAGAAAAAACTTCCACCTGCAAGTGTATGGCAATAAGGACAAATTGAATTATGATAAAAAGGACATACAAAATCGATATAAAAAATTAAGTTTAAAGAATCCTTATCATGCTTTAGATGATGCTTCTGTGTATTATGTACCTACAAAGAATAAAACGCTAGATGCGCGTAATGATAAAACGTTTGGCGAGAATCACACCAACGGATGGAGCGCGGAAGACATGTTTAAATTGAATGAGGAAAAATTTGGCATTCATTCAACATACAATATAGAAGAATACACCACCCCATTAGTTTATAAGGATGAGAAAATTAGTAGGTATAACAAAAGTGGTAGTGTTAAGGAGGGGATTAGTCCCCACACACCATATAGCAGTAATAAGCAAGGTGCTGGCGACCACAATAACATTGGTGGACCCGCGGGAAAGAGCAGCCGTGTTCTTAGGGGAGGCATATACGGAAGTAGTAGTATCAACAATAATGACAGGAATGAGGACAGCACTGTGGTGCAGTCGAAGGGGGAGCTCCAGAATAACGTGGGGAAGAGAAACCGAATCCACAACCTTAATGAGAACGCGTCCATAAATGTGAAGGCCTTGTTGGAGAGAAGAATGAAGATGATACCGAACGGTAACCCCCTACTTCTGAATGATAGGAATGCTAAGAAAAGCATTAGTGGTGTTAGCAGTAATATGAGTGACAGTAGTAAGGGAGTGGGTTTAGTGAAGAGGAGCAATGAAAGCGTGAATTTTGTTAATGGTTGTTATGTTCATCACGAGCCGGATGAAGACGACGATCCAAGGACGGGGAGCCACATGGACATGCTTGGCGGTAACCGCGTGCACCTGTTAAACGACGTCAACGGGGTTAGCGGAGGGAAAAGTGTGAATGCAGCGAATGACAGAAATCGCGCAAGCAAAAATGCGAGTGTCAACTTAGACCAAGCAGACAGCCACATGGAGGAACGAAGAAGCACTGTAACGGGAGATATAATACGAGAGGAATTGCTAAGAAAGTATAAGCTGAAGGAAGCCTATGACATCATGCAGAGAGGAAATGTGAACCAGAAGGAGGTAAACAATTTTGTTGATTCGCATAAGAGTTCCATTGGACACAGTCAAATGAGTGCTGACAAGAATTACAAAACAGATGTACAGAAGAAAATAATCTCGAACGACATAAATTATAAGAGTAAAAGTGCATGTTATGACCCCAGCTATATGATCCCAGGGAAGGAAAATAACAACTTGGTTAACAATTCGAACATGGGGGAATATTTGAATGAGAGCATTTTGGGGATAACAAATGACGGAATGAGTGGTGAAAGTGTTCATGAATACAAAAGTGTACCAAGGCGTAGCTCGTTTGGAGGAAGTTCTAATGGGAAGAATAAGTTCCCCCCCGCCGATTTGAGGTTGAATAGGGAAGTGCTTGATAAAAGGGAATATTCACATGTAGATGGTGAAGGAATGAGTCTTTATCAAATTAGGGAAATGGGAATTGCTGCTTCGAAAAGGACTAGCCAATGTAGCAATAACAGCAGTAGGCAATCCAATGAGCCTGGGAAGTACTTGCTGAATTTAATTAAGGGAGCAGGAAAATCAGATGTGGAAACCGATCCCAATGTAACCAAGAACAATCGTAATAATGCCAACCTGGTTAATGTCATGTCAGTAAATAATGCGAAACCTTTAAGTGAAAAGGAAATATTGTTAAAATTTTACAGCAATAAGGCTGGTAATGATGCGGTTGCTAAAAATGCTAACTCGTCGCATAGGTCCATGGGGGATAAGACAAACTCCATCAATAATGGGGAAAGGCATGATAATTATAGAAGTGCCATTGGAAGGGATAATTTATGTGTGCAAAAAAACCGAAACAGAATGAGCGCGGAATATCTTATTTATGATGTCGATGGTAGGGGAGAGGCTCAGGAGGAGGCAAACTTTAACGAGATGGAGATGATGGAAAAGCTGTCCAAGCATTTGAACAGTTACAACCCCTTCGAGTGAGGTTGCGCGCGTGTATGTGTGTTGGATGGGTTCGCTGCCAGGGGGGTAGGTGTATAGTCATGCTATTGTTACAGCATCGATGTGGGGGAAGCGGATAAAAGTGATCACGTCGCATGGTGGTTGTATTAATCCTAGTTGTAGTGATTGGGCTTAGAAAGAAGTTCAAGTTTATGAAGCCAGAGACGTGCGAACGGAACGATGCCGCAAGTTGGAAGGCAAGATACCAGCACTTCAGCACATGCGAAGATTTTACAGGAACATGTGTCTTCACAAATGTGTATAGTCAGAACGGACTATTTGTGGGAACATCATCTTGGAGATAATGAGTTGCGTCAGTATAACATTGTGTGGGTGGGGCTAATTATAGACACCTTTTTTTTTTTTCTTTTTTTTCTTCTTTTTCCATTTTTGTGAAAAACATTTTGGCATGTTATTTTTAATGTTGCGTTGCTTGGGTTATGTCACCATGGCGCGGTGAGGCCAACACGAGTTGCCGTTGTGTGCGTGCTAAATTTTTCATTGTTGACGACACTGTAGTTGTGTTAATAAGGATAATAATGTACAACTTATTAATTTTTTTTTTTTTTTTTTGATGTTTTATGTTCTCACTTATTAATAAGCAATGATGCGTTGTCATTTCGTTAATGTGTATCCTTGGACGTTATGATTTTAGCGAGTGCGATGAATTCGAGTTGCATCTTGTTTACTTAATTAAAGACGCGGGCTTCACACGCGTGCATATGCATATACATATCCATCTGTATATATATGTATATATATATGTGTGTGTGTGTATTGTCGTTATTATTAATTGCTTGTTTCCCGTTTTGTAGTTTACCCAATTTATCTCCAAATTTTTTTTTTTTTTACCCCATTGCGCATGTCAAAATTTGTGAGTGAGGGTGTGCACGGTTACGTAATGGCATGTATGCCGTTTGTGCCGCTTATGCAACTTATGTCATGTAGCCATTTTTTTAGCATGTTAGCCCCTATGTCCACATGTGCGCAGCTTAAGAATGGAATCGCGCCAGCAGTCGTATTTTTATGGCCGTTACTATATTTAGTTATTGCAACGGGCTGTAAACCACGTTTATGCGTACACGTATGCGTCCTGCTGCTCTGACGCGTCTGCTCATTAGTTTTCCAGTGTCCATGCTTTTGTGTGCGTTGTAACACCGCGCTTATTCCTATGATCGTAGTTATTATGAAGGTAATTGTTAAGCTACTTTTTTTTACATGCGTGCATTTTGTTGTTACGTACTGAGCACCTGTTACAAATGCTATACCTTTAAGAAGAAAAGCAGTCTCATGTACGCATGTGTACGAATGCACATGCGTGTACATGTCTATTTGCACACATGTGCGCCATTTAAAAAAGCTTTCAATTTTTTTTTTTTTTTTTTTTTTTAATCTTTTTTAAATCTTTGTATTTCCCTAATATGTTGTAAACAGACCTTAGAAAGAAGAAAAATCGCAGTTTAAAATTTACGCATGATTAAAATGTATATTTAAAATTGAGAACCCAGACGAGATTGGGTTGGTCTCCATGCGAAGAAAAGGCGTTGTGTGTGGAGGTGCGCACATATGTATATGTGTGCTTTTAGTTTACTCATTTGTTTATATTTTGCGCCTATTTTTTTTAGTGCACAACGGGTGTATAGTTGTGCGTGCTCGTTGCTCGTTACTTTTGTATGTCACTGTTGTGGAAGTGTCTGTCTGCATGATGCGAAATATTGTTCTTTTTCGTGCCCCATCGAACTTATAAAATCTTCCTTAGCAGGTGTAGAACTTTTAGCGGCGTGCTTCGCTCTGTGCAGCTTTTTTTTTTTTTTTTTTTTTTTAAAAAACATGATAAGCCAAGTGGATACCGATACGACGATGTGAGAAAAGCAATACAATACACAACAAAAATGGGGCGACCGGATTGCCCACATATTAATATGTGCCTACATAATGCCGCTACTTTTTCTGTTTTTTTTTTTTTTGTTTAATCGGGCAATTTGTCCCCTAGAGAAGAATGGACTAATAATGAACAGACCGGTAAAGTACATGCTATCGTGAAGGGTAGTAGGCGGTACGCGCATATTCTGCTTATCCATAAAAAAGCCATTTACAAAAAATGTTGCGCACTATTTTTAGTGTCCACGTGTTGGTTGAAAAACGGAGTGGGACAAATCATCTGTGTAGACACGGACGGGAAGACATCAATTTTTTATACCAAGCTGAGAATGCCAGAACGTATGGTGACAAGTTTACCCTACACACAAACACCTGCGTTATTTACAGTTGTTATTTTTTTTACTAAGATAAAATTAAAAGGTGGGAGGTGGAGTTCGCAAAGGAGGGAAAAATCCCGTGATGCAATCTCACGTCGGGTATGAAAACATATGTGTGACATTTGTGGCGTACTTGTGGAGACGTTGTCTGGATGTTATATAATTTCATTGTGACCTTGCATGATGTTCTTTGTCTTCATTACATTGTTCCCCCTTTTGTGCTAATTTTTCTTTCACCCTTCGTGCACGTCGCCCCATTTCAGTCATAACGCACTGGTCAACATTTTTAGAGGTCCCTTTGTGTAGGCGTCCTGATCTGCATCTGTGGTTGCGTGTATACACATATGCAGAAGTGTTTATGTAAACACGGTTACGAAACCTAACCCCATTTTTGTGTCTCCCCTTGCCCTGTTTAAGTCAAGGCTAAGGGGCAATTCACGCCACCTGCACAACGGAAATGTGAAAAAAATGGAGAGGCCATCCTAGGAAGCCAAATTCAGCACATGTACCAGTGCACTTATTAAACGCTGCTCTATCTAGGCACGTTACCATTGTGTCATTTTATTTTTTTTTTTAGAAGCTATAAATAGAATAATATTACAATGCAGCTATCTAAGTGGGCGCGCACAATTATGTAAACATTATGGACAGGGAAAACATGTCCCGTGTTGAAATGTTCGCATTATACGTTTTTGTTGTATGTAATGTTGATCCATGGGAGGACGCCATAAAATATATAAGGGGCTAGAAGTGGCCCTAGTTGTTCCCTCCGTTGTTATTTCATGTGGTGTAATTCCTGCAGCACAAAAGGAGGTCACTCCTATGTCAGTTACAAATGTTGATAAAAAAAAAAAAAAAAAGAATGTAAAATGGGGAGGCAGATTATTGCCTAAAAAATGTTATGGGCGTAGTCATTTGGGAATAATCGTTGCAGAGCAATTCTGCCCCTAGTTCATTGCGCATATGTAACTCCTCATTTCGCAGAGGACATTACTCGTGGGCCATTTGCGTCTTGCTTATTTTTTACATTTTCCATTTTGCATTTATTCATTTTCCTTGCGACATTTGTGGAGAATATATGGCGCACATAATTAAGGGCAGGTTCATTCTCCCGCTGCGGACTCATTTTAAAAAAAAAAAAAATTTTAAAACAATCAATCCTTGTATCGGTATTTTGCCCCCCCTTTTTTTTTTTTTTCTTTTCCCCTCTTTGCAACTTTTTACTTGTGTAACAGAAGCGTATTTGAGGGTACATTTTAAGAAGTACCTCAATGAGAAGCACATCGTCGAGGAGACCTCATTGTAGCGAGTCCCCCCATAGCAGGCGCAAAACTCTGTCGCCAAAAAGTGGAAATGTGTGAAATGATGCATGAAAAAATAGGCGAAAAAGTACGAGAACAAGTATGAGAACAAATATGCGAAAAAATAAGCGCAGGGTAATCGTGGTAGTAAGCGCCAAGGGATAAGGGAAAAACGCGATTTTCATGTGGCTGCCTAATTCGCATCATGCGATGCTCCTCCAATCAAAATTTTGGAAAAAAAAAAAAAAAAAAAAAAAAAAGGGAAACTAAACCATGCATCATATAGGAAAAGCTCTCTGCTTCTTCTTCATCTTGAATTGTATGGACAAGACTACGAGTTTTTTTATCAACAAGGTACACATTTTTCATCTCACTACATTTAGAAATGGTGGCAACTTGACGCACATCCGTAAGAAATGTCCTAACAGTATGGGTGTGACTGTGAAAAGAAAGGGCGCTTGCTTGAACAGCCACGATGAGGAGGAAGCTGAGGATATTGACGAGGCAGAAACGGAAGATGAGGAGGAAATGCAGGAAGAGGACGAACTGGAGGAAACAAGCGATGTGGACGAGACAGACGCCAGCGACGGCAGGCTCTCACCCCGCAGCACGAAGAAAGTCACCACCGGGGGGAAGAGAGTCAAGGCCGGGAAAATAAAAAAAAGAAAAAGGAAAAAAAAAACGACGAATGCGGCTAAGTGTAGAACGTGCAATAAGATATTAAAGCCAAGTAGGAATAATGAGACAGTGTATAAACACACATGAACGCATCCTTATTTGCATGCGAGTACGTGTTATTAAGCGGAGTAGATGACCGTTGCTCATTGCTGGTCCCCCTTCCCATTGATCCTCTTCTCAGGGGTAAAGTTTTGTGTCCACTGCGGCACGAATGTATCGGTAGAGAAAATTAAATTAAAAAAGTACATAGAGGATATCTACTTGCCTCTCAGGTGAGCGTCTAGATTGTGTTTAATGAATGTGCAGGCAAAGTGTCCCCATACGAGGCGACCATCTGTGAATCGCTAACCTTTGCGTTTATCCCATTTATATGCAGGAAGGAGGAAGTCAGTTACAACACCTACCGTGTGGAGAAGGGATTCTGGAATGACATACTGCCGGTAAGGACATGCTCGACGTGGAAATGGGATGTTGCGTTTGTTCACATTTTTCATATAACCATTTTGGACAAATTTCCCAATTTTTTTTTTTTTTTTTTTTTTTTTTTTTGAAGAAATTAGGCAAATATGAACTGCATGAATTGGGGCCGAACAATTGGGAGAGCTTTTTGAAGTACGTTTTTGCATCGCACCTGAGTGGAGATGTGAATTGAAGGGCATCGTTGGAAGGTGTTTTTGTGGCGTCTTTTCTGATCTGCTTTTCACCTTTGCCTCTACTGTACGCACTTTATCACACTTTTTGTCCTTTTATTTTCCCCACCCCCACTTTTATTTACACCCCCTTTTCAGGTATTTAAAGTGGAAAAATTGCTCACCGAGGACGATGGCCCTGTACCAGTCTACGTATCAGGTGAGGCACAATTACACACACCTGGAGATATCATGAACGGGAAATTTAATTTCGTTGCCCCGTTTTTTCCACCTCCCCCCTGCTTACGTGCCTATGTATGTACCTTCAAAAATATCAGTCCCAATTTAACTCTCTAATTCGCTTAACCGTCCCCCACACCGAAACACACATTTACAGCAATCACTGAAATATGCCTTATACCGGGATTACCTAAAGAGCGTGCATAATTTTCGTAAAATTAAGAATAGCACAATTCCGAGGAGGAAGATTACCCCTCTATCTCCCAAAGAGGTAAGTCAAGGAGGTGTCATAAGCTTCGTAAAAATAGCACGACATGTAGAGAAGCTAGGTGACAAGAGAAAGACCATAGATTGAGTTTTTGTAAAAAGGTCACCCACACATGTCCCCCTATTGGCCCATCCACTCCGTTTCTTTACGTCTACTTTGCTCCCTTTGCGCAGATAGAACTGCTACTCATCAACAGCGGCGACATGCACAGAGCCATCTTCGCCCTGAGTATAGGTACTGACAAAAATAAAGCCTCACTAGTGTGCAAATCATGTATGCTAGGAAAAAATCCCACATTTTTTTTTTAACCTCTTTTATGGTTTCTCAAAATTTACAAAGGCATAGGGTTGCGTCCGTCCGAGGTCCTGCGCATTCTTTGGGAAGACGTCAATTTTGAAAAAAAAGAAATTTTTATTAAAGGCCAAAAGACCAAGTATAGCAACACGGCCATCCCCATGACGAATTTTGCCTACAACGAATTGGTGAAATGGTAACAATTAACGTTATACAATTTGTGCGTCCTCGTTTACGTGCATTTGTATTATTGCGCACTTGATATGCCTCATTTTTACTTTCTCGAATGCATAATTGATTACACTACCCCCATGTGACAGGTGGGAGATAGAGAAGAAGCCTCTGAAGGGACTGTGCTTTTATTCGGAGACGATCAAAAATAAGTTTAATTACACCAACACGAAGACTCCACTAAGTAAGTTGTCTTCAAAACGCATCAATTTGACAACAAAAAAAACAGAAAAATACGTGATTTGGCAAAAAAGGAAAGCTATTTTTTTTTCGCCCACTTTTCAATACGTACGTGATGCTTATGTAACGAGTGACACTTGTTCATATTGTTGGTTCTCCATTGGGGTACACCGTGCCATTTCCACGCTGCCACTTTTGCAGAAACGTTCAAAACAGCGCTCAAGGGTGCAGCCAAACGGTATGTAATTAACGCACCTCGGATATAACATAATAGGATGCGGTGCGCTTCTATATATGTCACTGTTCGCGTGTGAATTCAACGAGAGCAATGTGTGTTGATTTTTCTCCTTAGGGCTGGACTCGAAATCAGCGAAGACGGAAAAAAGAGAAGAATATTTCCCTACCTGTTAAGGTTAAAAAAATATTCTCTGTTGTTTTTGCCCGTATTGCACAAAAATGTCCAAATATTTAAAATCCATTTACGCAATTTTTTTTCCTCCCTTTTGTAGACACTCCTTTGCAACCATTGCTGCAACGTCAAACCCACCTGTCCCGCTTCCAGTGGCACAAGTATGTCATTCCGTTTTCTCCCTTTATGTGTTGCTCCACTGTACATATATGTGCACTTGACCGAAATGGAATTTTTTTTTTGGCACATCTCCATATGTGTGCTGAACGGTACTACTTCAAATTGTTTCTTTGCAGGCAATTATGCGACACTCCTCTTCAAAAATGTTACTGGACACTTACACGAAGGCAGGAAACAACATAATAAGGGACGGCTTGGATAACTTCAAAATATAGGGGAGTGTCTGAGGGGGCCTCCTGCGTGCCGAGCAAGCATAATTAAATAGCATCTCGAATTTGTTTTGTTCGACCTACACATACAAAAAAGGATGTGTGTGCGCATGTATGGGATGAACAAATGAAGCGCCAGTTTTTTGTGAATCCGTTCTCTTTCGCGCGCTTAAAGGTTGCGCAGAAGATGGACATATTTGCTCTTTTTGGTTTTTCCTTTTGTCTTTTCCATTTGATTAGCAGTAATTTATTTTTTTTTGCATGCATGTTCCTGATGTGCAGCATTTTGTTGACTTGGCATGTTGTGCCAGAGGGTCGCAAGCCATACCCTCGTGAGTTAGACCAACGTGCACTACATTGTAGCATCCTTCATTTTATTCTTGTTTTTTGTGCCGCTTTTTTTTTTTTTTTGTGCGCTGCACACCAGCTCCGCAACTCTCACTTCGAACGTAACTACGCGCAGGGTATTTTCCCCCTTTATTAAAAATACAATAATTCGTACGCCCTGATGAATCAGAACTGCAACTTGTATCTATTCATTTTGGTACCTTCTAGTCAGTCATTTTTATTACTATACTAAAGCCTTGTAACTTTCCCTTTTAATGGTATCCCCTTCGTCAGGTATGATATGATTTACCTGATTTTCCTCATCGTTGTTGTCTTTTCCCCCATGTATATTTTCATCCATTTGGTGTGAATCCGGAGGGGTAGTAATTTGATCATCGGGAGTGTATCCCCCTTTTATGGGTATTTCATTTACCACCATATTGGTATGCGATGCAATGGGGTTTTCCTCCACCATCAGCACTTCTCTCTTTATATCAGTTTCCTTTTGTGCCTTATCTTTCTCGTTTATGTCTTCATCCTCCATTATGTCGACCCTGTCCATTATATCTGTATTCTCTTTTCCTGCCACCCCCCCTGCAGGAACATCTCCACCTGAGCAGTCCATATAATTATTCGCTTCTGAAGTTGCTTCGGTAGGGTTAGCCTCCAATGTAGAAGTTTTGGAACCTCCCCTTTGTGTATGCTTATGTAACTCTCTTGGCTCTACCCCCGGACACCCTTGGACAGATTGGCATGCCTTTCTTTTACCATCCTGTTCTTTTGATGCTATGCCGAAAAATGATGTGTTGAGAACATTCGATGCAATGTTAAATATGGAATTCAACTTTTCTGTTTCCATAAGTAAATTATATATATTACTACTTTTTGTGTGTTCTTTTAGAAGATTCAAATTTTGTTCCTCCTTTTTCTGTACTCTCATATTATTTACATGTTGGTCTGAATTTTTTTCATAACTCGTTTGTGCGATTTTAGTTTCGTTTTTATCTGGGTAGGCACGATTTGTGTGTTCCCAAGACTGCACATTGGTGGTGTGTTGAATTGATGAGGAGTCTCCGCACGATATGCTTCTACGTGGTGAAGCGGCATTTGTAGGTACAGGTACTACCGAGTCAGGGGTTGCACATGTCTGCTCTTCGCAGGGTTCACGCTGAACACTCCTTTCGTTATCACAACCGTTGCATTGTTCAATTGCTGCCTCCTCCTCACGTATAACAGGGGCATAAGTCAAAGGAGGTGATTTTTTTTTGTCAAACTTTTGTGTAAGTTCTGTTTTCACATCATTCACAATGTCTCTTATGTGATTTTCCAATTTCTCATTCTCTTCATCTAATATTCTATTTTTATTTTTTAGGAATTCCATATGATCAGAGATAATTATTAAAGAATTCTGCAGCTCCATGATCCTCCTAATCAGTTCATGGTTGGAAATTTTTTCCAACTTGTCATCGTTTAGGGGATTCATTTTTAAGGGGAAAAGGAAAGAGCGTTTTTTTTTTCTTTCTATTGTTTACATGATTAGGAAAAGGGCTCTTCCAACATTAAAGTACTTGGGAAGCATATATGTAAGAGGTGCACTTGTTGCACATGTAATCTGGAGCAAAGTCGTACATTTGTGCAAATCTGTTGGTGCTTCTATACGCATGCGTGAGGGGTGTGGGCCCACAAATTGTTCCCCTATAACGGGGTGTGAATTATTCGGGGAACCGCTGCTATTATATAGGAGAGGGGAAAAAAAAAAAAAAAAAAAGGCTTAAGTTATAATTGTCAATGTACACTACTTGCACCACATGGGGGAATGTCGTGGGTCATTCTACACGATTTACCCCTACCCGTCGTATACATCACAAAATGGGAAGTGCCAATTACATGGGTGTGACATGTACAAGCACAGTTGGCCGAGTACACGACAGACTGGCCGTGTAAATTGTAAACCGCATGAGATCTGCGAGGAGGGGCCAACGAGGGAGGATATCCTTTTCGAAATAATTGAACTGGAATAATTGAAGAGGAAAAAAGCTGGGGGGCGGGGAGATTCACGAATGCAATGCGTACAGGGTGAAGCGCCCAGGTGCCTCAGAAAAGATACACGTACACATATTCGTATATGTACGTGATAAAATTCGCCCTTTTACGTTGGCTCAAAAATGTGAAGGGTAAAAGTTAGGTAAACTCGGTAGTGGGCCCACCAGTGTGCGTGCATGTGTGCCTTTTTTTTTTTTTTTTTTTTGTACAAGATGAGAGCTCCATGTGGGCTACTAAGGACACACCGTGCAGACGCAGCCGCAGTGCGCACAATGGGTAAGGGGAAAAAGGGCCAACTCCTCTTTGCACATTTGTACAAGAGGGCATATATTAGCAAGGCAGAGGAAATTACCAAGGGAAAAAGTTGCACCGTCAAAAAAAACAAGCTCAAAAATATATACGTAGATTTTTCCTTGAATAAATATATCAACATAAATAGCCTTAACGTAACCAAATTTATTAAAACGCCAATACATTACCAGACATTTAGAGAGCTTGTCGACACGATAAAGAACGTTAGCAATGTGAGGCTACAAAACATTCACTTGGTGAGAAAAATTGTGAATTCTATGGGTGTGTACGTCACGAATTATTTAAACAACTTGAGTCATTTCAACCATTTGAATAGTTTAAACCCGTCCAATGGGGGACTCAACTGGGAAGACAACTTTTACGACATGGATAATTGTGAAGAGGACGAAAATGCTATAACCCCAAATAGCATCATTACTGTTCTGATTAGTCTATACAAACTAAAATATCGCAATGAGAAATTTTTGCAATTGCTAGAAAGGGTTATATTTGTAAAGACGGACAATTTTAAATTTGCCCAGTTAAATTTAACCCTCTACATTTATGCCTATTTCAACAGAGTAAATAAAACATTCATAAATGCTCTACTAATGAATATTTTGGACAATGAAAAAATGCTAAATGCAGATAACATTTTGAGCATTTTCACATCCTTATTTTATTTAAACTGTAAAAATGAGAAAACATTAGATCGTTTGGCAAATTATATCATTTCCAATCATCTACAATTCGACATCAATGTTATTATTTTTCTTTTGAACAATTTGAGGAAGCTCAACTATTCAAATATTTCTCTTATGGAGTATTTCCATGATCAGATTATTCTCAAATTGTGCTTCCTTCCTCAAGGAGCGGCAGAAAAGGGGAAGAAGCTTGTCGACCCGTTTTTTTTAAAAAGAAAAATACAGCACATTATTGATGAGGAGAATCGCAAAGAGAGGGGTTCTTACCCACTTGGTGCATGTCTTGGGCTGGACCCACAAGAGGGGAATCTTCACCATATGCCACATGTGAAGGATGAAAAAAGCGGAGATATCCAATCGAGTTATTGCCCCCCCATGGGCAGCATAGATCTAAATTACAACCTAAGTGAAGAAGATATAAACAGCACGTACGGATCAGTGCACAATAAATACATTGTGGAAAATAATTACGTAGATTATATTTACGAGTATTATAATGAGAAAGATCTTGAAGAGGGAAGTAAGAGTAAACTGGACATCCTCATGGAAGTACTCATATACAATAAACACTTCAAGGAAGACTTGCTAACCGTTTTGTATGAATATCTTCTGAACAATTTAAAATTTTTTATGAGTCAAAATGATAGTGACATGTGTCGTATCTTATCCAATATGTATTATTTTGAAATAAATAATTTCCCGAACGTTCTGCTGCTAAATAAAAAAATGCTCTTAAGTATGTGTCACTATTATGTTCCCTTTTATAAACGGACCAATATCATGATTTTTGTGTACATAAAATTGCTGTTAGAGAAGCACAATTATTTTGACGTGTTTATCGATACCATATTGAGGAAGAAGATACAAACGGATTTGCTAACATTGGAGGGGAGACAATTCTTAAATTTGCTCAATGAGTGTAAAAATTATAGTATAAGAAAATACCTTTGTGACATTTCTTTGGTGTACTTTGATTTCTTTACTGTACAGTGTTCAACGCATGGGTTAGAAGAAGAGGGGAACACATTAGACAAATGCTATGGGGGCCACCACCATGAATCTACCCCTTCCCAAGTGATTCACACCTACAGCGATGAAAATGAAAACAGATTTATAACACTCCAGTTTAACGAAAAAAATAAGCTAAGCTCCTATGATGGGCAATTTTTATTACACCTTTTTTATTTCTACATCCAAATGAAGTATTACGAAGGGATATTTCTATTTCTTAAGAGCTTATTTTGGGGGGTGAGAAATTTCAAGAACTTCGACCCATATGTATACTACAAAATTAATAATCACTCTGCCGATATTACTGTTAGGGATCAGGTTCAGGAGGTTCAGAAGGCTGATGTGTATATGAGGCTGAATGCAATGCAAATAATACATCTGTACGAATATTTTAAGAGTGCCTTTGAGTCAAATGAAGATTTTATCACGCAACAATGTAACGTGATAAATGCGAACCATGAAAAGGCTCTGTATCACCACTTCTACGCATTCAATGGGGATAATTCTGGTGATGCTGATGTGGAGGACATTGTTTCCCCCATGTCAGTTCAAACGAAACAGAGTAGGCACCCTTTGCCTTGTGAAAATAAGATAGAAGCCAGTCCAGTCAGCAAATATTTATTTACCGAATGGAAGGTTAACTACATTAGTGGCAATAACCCCACTGCTACTTCGAAATGGGTATCCAGTCGTACGCGTGCGAATGTACTCGAGGGTGGAGGGAACCATGGGGGAGTCCATTTGGAGGGGAAGAAATATAACTCGAAGTTACCAAAAAATGAAGGATTAAAAAATGATCATGTCAGCAGAAACGGAAATACCGTCTCAAAAAAAAACATCCATTTTGAGAAAAGCACATTCCACATAGACAGGCATGTATATAATGTCCTGAGCAACATTTTCTTGTACACCCCTGTGGACCTGTTCGCTTTACACATTCATCACTTTAATTCGAAGAATATATTTTTTTTGTTACAGAACATAATTTTTAAGTTGAATTGGCTTAACGTTCAATACCTATCCCTTGTAGTTGCAAAAATATTTGCCAGAATGAGTGAAGAAACTTGTCGCGAAACGCAGAAGGATTATCTCGTGTATCTTGATTTCTTCCATGATTACTTACTGGGGGACGAAGGAACAAGTGAAAAGTTTTCTTATCAGTTGAAGCAGACAAGGGCTACACAAAATGTTAGTTACTTAGATGGGGGGGATAAAAGATTGCTTATAAGTAGGATTCACCAAAATTGCATAACGACATGGAAAGACCAAGATAAGATAAAAAAACGCATCGCATATATATTGTGCAAAAATAAGGGCTACTCTAGGTATGTAAATAATGACATAATTTTTGACGAGAACTTTCTAAGCCTCCTTGTTCAGCTTGTTTTAAACAAAAAAACAATTTCTTCCCCTTGTTCCTACTACGACATGATGAATGACAGTTTGCTCCTCATATTGAAGTCGTTACGAACGAGGAAAAGAAACCCAAAGTATATGCAAAGCGTGGATATAATAACAAATATATTTCTCTTTAGGTATATTCAGTATAAGTATAGTCAGGAGGTGAATGAAGACAATTTGTCCAAAAGGTGTGCATCTGAAAAGGTGCCTTTTTTACATCCCCAAGTGATAGATATGCAGGGCGGGGAAAAGGGGCTATGCCTTAATTTGGACTTGGAAGTAAATTCTGACGCCAAATTGGACTGTCATTTGGACTTCCATTTATCGCAACGCGGAGCCCTTGGAGAGGGAACAGCCGACCAGCAGAACGAGCTACATGGAAGTAGAATACGTAACATTGCTGTGCAGAGAGAAGGGGACAGTCAGCGTTGTGTGAACGTTACGAATGCGCCTGGGGATGACAGCCAAAAGGGGGTTTCCAATTCCCCTAGCTCAACCGACGAGCGCAACGTAAATGGGGAAAATCAAATGACGAAGAAAAAGGATGCGCTGAGAAGATACATACAAATATATTATACAATTGTCAAGGTTCGATATTTTCACGAAATGTCTATCAATAAACATATATTTCGTGAATTGTGCTTAAACAGAGAATATATTGATAATGCGATCTTTTTGAACTTGCTGTTTTATATATATAAATACAACTTTGACGAAATGAGATATATCCTCCTGTTGCAGAAAAAATGTGCGCTGTATAAGGACTTATATTATACGCATTCGAATTATAGGATAGTAGAATTTCTTTGTAAAAAATTGAAAATTAATTTGGACGATAACGTCAGGAGTATCCCTTCGAAGCAGACGTCTTATGATTATGAAAATGTATAGTGCGGAAAAAAAAAAAAAATTTTAAGGCGGAAGGAAATATGTACGTACAGAAAAAAAAAAATTTAAACGCGCACAACTCGGCATCTCTCAAAAATAGGACATAAAACTATGTTTGAAAAAGCATAAAACACAAAGTGATCTCCCCATTTTTGAAGTCGACAAGGTGTTTCACCAGTGCAGGTATCCAAACGGATGTCATTTGTGTGAACACTTTTACACATTTTGGAACAGTAGAACGTTTTTTTTCTTTCTTTTGTCTTTTTCCTTGGGACCCACGGGTCGTCACTCCTTTGGAGAATTTCTCTTTAATTTTTTTCGTATGCGACAGTTTGAAGCCTGTTTTCTTATTTTTTTTTGACTCCCGTTTGTTTTCGTTTGCTCATCTATCGTGATTATGCTGTGCCATTTTGAATTACACGATTGGGTAAGTTTATGCTTGCATACATAATACATACATGCAAACACGTATGTTTTTTTTTTTTTTTTTGTTTTTGAAAGGGTCGCACGCAAAAGGGTGTTATTTTGGTGTAGGACAAACGGAATGCGCGTTACACGTTGCAGCATGTGAATTTCTATTTTAATTCGTAGATGTTCCTCTTCATTTTTTCGTAACTTTACAAACATGTAAAAGGCACATATATAGCAGGTTATAGAGTGGGCGTACTCGTACGACTATCTTTTTTTTTTTTTTTTTTTTTTTTTTTTCTTCCATTATGATCCATGCATTTGCGCGTAGATTTGTGCGCAAGTACACTTTACACGTACGTACACGAATGTACATGCGTCTGCCACCAGCAGCGTGATGGAATGAAGAAATAGGCAGGTAGATCAGCATACGAATAAGAGTTGTAGATTGACAAATGAGCAGTTGGTGTAGCATATACCCACCACATGTTGCGCGTATGCCATCTGAAAGCGCCATACACCCGTGAATATGTAAATTTCTAAACCGCATATATACGTGCATATGCACACGTGTGTATTTAGTCCAAAGTGCAAAATGCGCAGCTGGGAACAATCCGCCAAACCGCGCGTCCATGTACATTTCTTTTTGCTGCTGCATAATTTTTACAAGAACATACTGAGTACACAAAAAAAGGTGCATAAAGAGCGAAAATAATGTTTGGAGGGAGCTAAAAAATTCACCTACTTTTGCTGAGCTTTTTTTTTTTTTTTTGTTTTCTTTTCTGGCAAGGTTATAATATATAGCTCACGTTGGTGAAGGAATCCAAAGTCGAATTTGAAAGCAAGTGTACAGCGCGAAGCAGCGCATGGCACGCGTACACACCTATGTATGGCGCTTTGTGCATCTTTTGTGCCCATTTGGTTAATTTCTTGTCATCTTCTACGTCCGCACGTTGTATTGAAGTGGTCCATATGCAACTACGCTGTAATCCGTGAGTATTGTTCCATCAGGCCCCGTGGAATGCCTTTTTTTTTTCTTTTTTTCGTATGTACCATCCCGCCGCTTCTCCTGCGACAGGCTCAATTTGCACGTACGACAAAAGCATATACCCCTTTCCCAGGACAAACACTATCATCACAAGAATGGTATAGCTCTGACAGGCAACGAAGAAGAAAACTCCTTCTCCCCCTCACCAAGATCTGTACCCTTCACTCTTATAATATAGGCAAAAATCAAATTTAGAAGAAATGAGCGAAGATGGATCGAACAATTTAATCATACAAGATGTAATCCGAAAACATATTGAAGAGAAAAAAGAACTCGTGGGGAAAATACTAAAATTTAGAGACAGGATACCACTAGTAGAGTATAAAAAAAACGATGACGAAATGTACATATGTTCAAAGTACTTTTTTATAAGCGATATTTACATTAAGGTGAAGAAGCAGGAGGACAAGTTTAGGCTCACTTTTGTGGGGAGTAAAGAGGGGGATGAAGAGGAGGATCCTGGTAAATTGCATTTGGGGAAGTGGCATTCGGAAAAGTCGCATTCGAAGACGTCGCATTCGAAGAAGTCGGACCCGGAGCTGGAGAACAGTTCGATGTTTAGTGATGAGAAGAACACGTTGCGGGAATTGCCTAGAGAGGAAGATGCCGACAAGGTACATACAGAAGCATCCAATGATAAGCTGCGAACGTACACGGACAATGAAGAACTAAATGCACAAGAGGATACGGAAGAATTGAATATAGAATTAGAGAACGAAATGATAAACGGTGAGTTAGAGAACGAGTTACTGAAGACAGAATTGTATAGTGAAATGCTGAACACAGATTTGTGCAGCCAAATGTGGAACACTCAATTGGACGGCGAAATGTTGAACGCAGAATTGTGCAACCAGATGCCGAAGACAGAGTGTGAAGATTGGGTTCTTTCGAAATTGAGGAAAAAGAAGTTTATTATTATTTTGAGTGGAACCTCCGGAGGGGGGAAAAGCACCCTTAGTTGTCTATTGGGTTTTTTTTTGAACATTCGACGAATTTTATCTACAGATGTGGTGCGGGAAATTTTAAGAAAGTACAAAGTGAAGGATGACAAGTATCTTAAATTTTCAACGTACGAATCGTGGAAGGTGAACGACAGCGATGATGAGGGGGAAGTTAGCTCTAGCGCAAGCCGTGGAGAAGGGGGAGGTAGTGGGGGTAGTGGAGGTAACGCCGACTCCGAAGCGAGCAAACTGGAGAGTATAGAAACTCGGCTAAGAAGAAAGTGTATAGAGAACTACGCGAAGCAGTGCGAATTGCTTTTCACCTACATCGATGACATAATTAATGATCACATAAGAAGTAACGAATCGATCATCATTGAAGGGGTTCATCTGAACGCAGACATGATGGAGAAGTTAAACAAAAAATATTCAAACAGCATTATCTTTTTTTTAGTATACATAAATGATAGGGAAACCAGCATTCAAAGATTTTCAAGCAGATCTGTAGATTCGAAGACGGAAGAAAATAAGTATATAAAAAATATTAACTATATTAATGACATACAGAATTATTTATTGGAAAAGACCAAATGTTTGCATCCTCCAATTAATTATATTGAAAATATAGACATATATAATTCGCTAGAGAAGGTCCTTCAGATAATTTATTCATTTGGTTAATTTTTTTTTTTTTTTTTTTACGTCGTGGGGAAGGCGGGGATTGCCACACACGTGTGCCAGTTGACATAGCGATAAATGTAAGCAATAATAGAATACGCGGATTGGCCCTATTGTTCTGTCCCGGATGTGTACCGTTTTTCATCCTTGACTATGTGTGTAGTCCCGTGCTAGCGTACTCTCCTGCTTCCTCACTGTGACGCTTCCTTCATTATTTAGTCGCTTCCACCTTGCGAGCGCCGTTGTTTAGTTCTCCAATTCGTTAGCCCCCTAGTTAATGTTTAGTCCTGCGTTTGCATATTTCCTGTCCAATCGCCGGCACAGGAATTACCTACTTATTTAGTTACCTATTTATCTGTTTATTTATTATTATTTTTTTTTTTTACGTGCACCCGTCTTCACCCCTTTTTTTTTTTTTTTTTTTTTTCTTCGATTAATTTACCCCATTTGTTCAATTATAACAGGACTTCATTTCGTATCACCATTCGTTTTTTGCGACCTTTATTGTTATCATTAATTATACAGTTGATAATTTTTTTTTTTTTTTATTATTTTTTTTAATTCACTCAGCAATTTTTTAATGTGTAAAAAAAAATATATATAAACAAATGGAGTACTAATTAACTTTGTAGATTACTCTTATTGCAATTTTTATTTTTTGAATGTGTAGGAATCTGCTATGGCATACTCGTAAATCTCGCTCGCTTTTTTGAGTTGCACGCCAATTGGTATGTTTCTCGTCCGAAGAGGACTAAAAGAATGAGCGGCAGGATGGTCGCCTAGGTTGCACTGAAAAGGCAGAACGGATTTTCATTTATTTGAGCAAAGGAAGGTTATGTAATAAACTGCCCAACAAAATTGTAAACAGGAAAAGCGACATATATGTGTACATAATTTTGCACCATTTTTATGAGTTTCCATTTCGTCGGACTTGTACACATTTAAAAGAAGCCCTTTTGAAAACCCCTCCTATGGATGTATTTTTCACCCAAGTGGAAATTAGCATACGCATTAGCCATGCATTGAAGGGGACCCCTTCACAGATGGCATCATATATGTTTTTTTTTTTTTGTCTCCACGTGAGAGAACTGCTGAGGAGAGTTTATAAGTGTCCGAAATGTTCTCTGTGAATAATTTTAATATAGAAATTATTTCATGTAAAAAAAAAAAAATACAAAAATTTATGTTTTGGGAAGTATATATATGTGAGGGATTTGCCGAATGTGGGAGAATTAGTATTTTTACTGCACCTGCTCATATTTTAGCGTTTCTCAGTTGAAATGTTTTTACCTCGGTCGCAAGACTCGCCACCCGTTCAGTTGTCCTAATTGGTGTACCTTTCTACTTATAGTAGTAGGATTTAAATATTTACCTGACATTTTTTTTTTTCTCTTGTAGTTCGACAGCAACATTGGAACATGAATATGTACAAATTTAAATCCACCTTGAACTTGTGTAATATAATATTGTTTGATGAATGATTGAACGAAACTGCGTATGGTGTTTCGCATACCCCTTTTGGGTTTCCTCCGTTTTTTTCTGCCATATTATACATTTTTCTGGCGCTTATTATCATACGTTTTTTTCTTTTTTTTTCTTTCTTTTTTTTTTTTTTTTTTGCCATTTTGCGCTTTGTTTATGTTTTTCCAGTTTTGGTCAATTTTCTCTGTGAAGATAGCTTTCTCCTGTATACCTGATTTTTGTTTTTTTTTTTTTCTTCCTCTTTATTGGAGCATAATATACTCCTAGTAAAGGAACAAAGCTAATATTCTTCACAAATTGACCCTTGCGAAATGCATCATTTCGTGTAAACATTTGGTTCAGCAACGAGTATTGTAATGGTGCGGCCATGCTACCACACTACCCTGCGTGCATGCGTACTCAATTTGAAGGACAAAACGAGCGTTTTGTTTGACCCTGAGAATAAGGGACAATGCCGGTGTGGGGAACAAAAATAGAATGCGCCCCGCTTATTTGTTTTTTGTTTTTTTTTTTTGTATGAATATTCTGTTTATACCTCATATGCCCCTCGGCAGATTGGTGCATCCATATTGTGTAGGCAACAGGCACAAAAGGGTTTAACACTATGCACAGCGGGTGGGATTTGCAGATATACGAAGAAGTTATACATTGCAGAGGGTTCACATGTGTAGTGAGATTTTGCGCACTTTTGCGTGGAGGGTATTCGCACACAGAACAGAGGGATTTCCCAAAGTCCACATTCACTTGCTCATGAACATATACACCTCTGTTTAGCACACCAATTACATGCGCAGAACCCACATTTTATAACATTTCAGAGAAGCTCACACAGTTTGTCTTTGCTTGGAGAGAAGCCAACGGACAAATGTCTAATTGATGACCAAAGACATAGGGACAACAAAAAAAAAATTATGAGAAAGGGAAAATTACAAAATAAGGAAAATTGAAAGCACAGAAAAAGGTGGCAGAAAATGCTGGATGATAACTACGTACAAATGTTAATATCGAAAAATGTTAATGCAAGGAATAAGGAAAACAAAAAATATGAAGCTTGGGAAGAAAAGGGGAAAACAAACAAGTACATTCTACACCTGCAGAAGCTGTACAAAGAGTTCAAGTTCGAGGAATGCCTAAATTACGGATTAGAAAATATTGAAAAATTAAAAAAAAAAAATTATGTAGGCAAAATTGAATTCTTAAAGATCATAGGAAATGTGTATTTTTATTTAGAAAATTATAAGTACAGCTCCCTTACGTATATTTTGCTGTCCAAATATTTGAACAAAGTCTCCGATGGGTATAAAGTAGAAGTTTGTTACAATGCTGGGGTTGTGTTTATAAGATATTTCTTACAGAGCAATGATATTAGTTACTACTTGAATGCCAAAACGTCATTTCATTGTTCCATGTTGTATAATGAAAAAGGCAGTAAACACTTTAATCCAACGATATATGAAAATACTGTGGGCATACTGAGGCGACATTTCGCCTTAGATGCAGAGAAACGGACGAAGGAGGTGAATCATCATAATAATCTTTTTGCTCATTCATCCCTTGAGAATATTTTTTTGGAGGGCGGTACAGATTTGACAGCTTCGTCCCATGCGAACAATTCCCAAGGGGAAGGCCCCCAGACGAAGGAGTTCTTTTCCATTGTGGATTCCAAATCGTGCACAATTAAAAGTGAGAAGCACAAGGGGGTTTTGGATGCCAAGAGGGGGAAAGGTAAAAATCAGGACGGTGATGAAGACGTGTATTTGGACTCGAACAACACAGCAACGTTTTCCATTTATGATGAAAGTATTGATATGCGAAATTTAGTCTTAAGGAAAAGTAACGCCTTGGCGAATGTGGAAAAAGCGCCCACTGGGGGAAGCTGCCCCAACATACAGCTGAAAGAGGATGGACAAGACGAAACGGGTTTGTCGGACCATAATTTGGTAAACGTATTAAATAAGGAAAGCAGCATGACCAATAATTTTTGCAACAATTTGAAGAACATGTTATTTAGAAAGCCCGTAAACACCTTCTTAAATAATTCTGCCTCGCCAATGGTGAAAAGCAAATCCAACACATTCTTAGAAAGCACCCCGGTAGGTATGATAAGGAGTGCTTCCCAGAACATTTTGAAGAAACGTTGCGGCAGCAGCATGAGCAATTCTCCCGTAAATTTTTTGTCTGAGCCTACGGGCAATATTCCAAGCAGTTCCTGTAGCAATTTTTTTAACAGCTGCACGGGGGGAAATGCTTTGATTGATTCTCCAACGTGCATGGTGAGAAGCAGCGAAGGGAATAATGTGAACAACGCTTCGCCAATTTTTGGAAGCAGTTTCCCACACAAGCGAACGCCGCAGCAGAAGAGCATCATAAAATGTATGCGCAGGAGTACAGATGAAAGGATCCATGAGGAGGGCCCTCACACGCCGTCTAATTGGAACGAGTGTACAGCTTCTGACTCTATGCCACCAATTGAAAATAATTTATTGCATCATAAAAAGAGAAAGACTAATCAGGATACTTCTCATTCCGCTTCTTGTGAAAATAATGTCCGAATGGGCAGCAATATGTTTCGCTGGACAAAGGATAATAAAATATGCACATATGATTATTACAATGTTCAGGAGAAGGAACATATAAGTGACCGAGTTGGGAATGGCGCAAGGGGGGATGTGTTGCTGGACAAAGCGAAGTGTGGCAACGCAGTGGAGGAAGGAGCAGTGGAACTGATGGAAATCGATGATGACGTGGTCAAGTGGGAGAAACCCAAAAAGGTGAAGATCAAAAGGAGCCAGACCAAAAGGGATAAAGACAAAAAAGGCAAGATAGGCAAAGCCAAGTGTAGAAGACCCAGTACCCTGTTTGACGAACTGTTTTCAAATGGATCCCTCAATGGATCCCTTCTTAGCAAAGTAAGAAAGGCATGCAGACAGTACCAGTCCAATTTGATCAGTGAATACTATCACATTTACCACTCGAAAAAAAAGACAAAAAAAGCGAAACAAATTATAAAAAGAAAAAGAATTGCGGATTTGTTTCATGATTTATATGAAATATGTAAAAAAAACAAGCACGACTTTTTGATGACATTTGTTGATCAAGAGAGTCGTAGTAAGGGGGCTTCAGACGGAAGTCCATCTCGACAGGCAGGAGTGAGAACACGAATGCTCAATAATAATGAGGTTATGAGACGGGAAGGGATAGAATACTACACGCCTAATTTTAGCCCTAATGGGTGTAACGGACATTTGAACATGTTGGATAAAGATGAAGTGAGTAGAGAAGACAGCAGGAAAGGTAATCTGCTCATTCCTGTTGTAGAAGGTACAGACCACTGGGTTAAGCCAGAGGCAGGGGGCGATGCGCCTAATAGTGTACCTAATGACGCAGGAGGCACGGTAAATGTTTTACAAATGAATTGCGTAGAGAAAGAGGTGTACAGAAAGGACCTCCAATATGAGCAAAGAAGCGAGGTGCAGGGGCAAAACACACATTCGTTCGACCTGTCCCGCTTTGTCAATCTATACAGCCAGATCAGGAGTAGCCAGCACCACGAGCATGTAGAGAAGTGTCAGAAGGAAAAAAAGGAGATCGAGGAAGTGATCATCCTAAGTATTAACAAAATAAATAAAAAAAGAATCAGAGATAAAGTAAAGAAATTAAGTTCACACAACAATTCCATCCTGTCCAACATTGGCGATAAGTACATTGATGACATGGACGAATTATTTCTTATAAAAAATTACTCAAAAATTTTAAAAAGCATTAAAAGAAATGACAGCATAAAGCATATTTATTATTTATATGAAAATATGTATGCCATAGATAAATTCGATCATATTAATGGGAGTAATTTTTTTAACATTTCTCATTTTATCATCGACATTTTATTGTTGAAGGAGATAAAACAAAAGGATTATTTGAAGAAAAGAATTCACAAAATGAAGTACTCTTATCAACATTATTATGCCATTTATGATGACGGTGATAACGGGGCCCTTTTTAAGGACATCCTCAGGCACCTTATTAATCCTTCCATTAAGGACACCGTTAAGGATGACCCTAAGACGGTGTCAGCCGATTGTATGCGCACAAGGCACCCACAGCAGGGCTTCAATCTTTTGTCTTTCATTTTGAAAGATAAAAGAATAGAGGCTGGCTTGAACGAACAGAATGATCCGTACCTTAACGTCAAATTTAGTTCTACCACCACTGTTAATAACAGCGACACCTATTCGTACACAAATCAGAAGAAGGAGGAACTCCTGGGGGACAGAATGAATGAGGTGTTGTCCGGCGAAAGGCACAGCAGTGAACAAGTGAGTGGCGGCGGAACCAACTCTTGTTTGTTTTTAAAAAACAATGCAAGCGCAGTGGTGAAGCAGAGCGGTGCGAAGGAAGAAGATGCTAAGGAAGACGACGTGAAGAGTTCCACAGGCGACACGATTGATACAACGGATAGGAATAAACCAATTTTGCGTGACTTCTTGAGCATATCGAGCAGCAGCCAACATGGAGAACCGAACCGTGGTAGCATAAGCTGCATGGCGCGTTCATACAAGTGCGAAATGGAGAAGCTGTACCTCGAAATGAGCAAGGAAGATGAGGAAATTTTGGACGTGGAAAAGTTTTACGAACACATGAATGTGTCAAATGCGAGTAGTGACGAATGTAGGGCCAAGGCGGAAGAGGTTGTCATGATGCTCTTTTATCACTACTGTGATGAGGGGGGTAAAGGCGACTCTGGGGTCAGTAGCGAGAATAACGTAAGTGGTGAGCGCTTTGGTGAGTTCACCATCAGAACGGCTCTGTTTAAAATATTTTTCTTCTTCACTAGCAACGGCATAATTAATAAAAAGAATTTGCACGAGTATGTGACCTTTTTGCGGCTGTACCAGTTGTACCTGGACAGTATCAATTGCGACCCCTTAATCTATTTCTACCACAACATTGAAACGGACTCTGATAAATTTGTCAACCCCATGGACAGGAAAAATGTAGTGCGCGAAGATTTTACGTCCTCTATCATGTTTGATAATTACCTAAATGTGATTCACTGTCATTTGTACATGCTCAAATTGTTGCACAAGTCTTATTTGAATAAATTGAAGAGGAAGCACACGTATGATAAAGTAAATTTAGAATATATGATTAATCACACTTTTAACATATTAAATTGTGTCCTAATTAAGTACAGTTATGATGAAGAGGCTAGGGTGGTCAGAAAGCGCGTGGTGTTTTTATTTTTGCAATTCCTTTATCTGAACTCGAAATATTATTTTAAAAATGTAACTCTTTTTCTGGATAAGTATGACATAAACTATTTGGTTAAAAGCGAAACTGGAAATTTTCGTAAAGTGAATGCCGATGTGGGGCGCATGCACTCGGTTTGTATGAACGCCGGGGGGAGGGATCAAAAGGGGAAGGGACAAAGGAAGGGGGATGTACACGAAGGGAATAGAGAAATGGGTGAAGAGAATTTCGTGGAAGAAGACATGTGGAGAAAACGACCGTATGATTATGATGAGCGGGACGGATACCTGCACAATGGTCAAGCGAATGCAAAACAGGGATATATTCAGGGGGCTGGGGAAGGACAAAGAAGTAGCGCAGATGACGTATTGGATAATGAAGGCGATGCTTATGACGAGGACCATCATCACTGTGATGAGCACAGTGTAGCTGGAGAAAAGCATTACCTCTATGAAGGGATAGGATTTAGAGAGGAAGCACAAGACAGAGGTCGAAAAGGTATTGAGACATTGGGGGAACACAGCAATAATCAAGGTAATAAAAGGGATCCATTTGTTAATAAAAATGAATGGCGAAACGATTTGTTATCAGAGGAAGAAGAACTCAGAACAGGAAAATGTAAAACCCACAATTCATCCATCAGTAATATGAATACATTTAAAAATGTATTTACCAAATTGGATCAAAATGTGAACATAGCCTTTTCTTCCTTTTTGAAATGCTATCATAAGTGTTTTTTTATATTAAATTTGCGATTATACGAAAATGATATGTTCAGAAGAATTGTGTGGAAGGTCGTCCAGCGAATTGTAAGATACTGTAACGATCTGTACACCATTTTAAAAATAAAAAAAATACCAATAAATAAGAGCTACAATTATGTGTTTGACAAAATTAATCACAGTTTGTACAGTAAGAACATTTTTTCAAGGCCTTCCTTTTTTGAAGTATTAAGAGAAGATAATTACGTTAGGAAGACTTACACTGCTCATCAAAAATATATAGAAAAAGAGGGGAGAAGACGAATACCTTCTCATGGCATTCCGGATGCAGACCAGAATGACGTACTGAACATACTAATCACGGTTGCCAGGTTTAACAGAGGAGAGTGCCAGAGGGAAAAGATGAACAAAAAAAAAAAAGAGTTCATTTTCCTTGTACACTCGTACAAGTACATAAAGAAATGCATTTGCAAGGAACTGAAAGAAAATAGCATCCTAAGTTTATACAAAAAGGCAAAACAACTGGATGAAAATTTCAGCCAAAGCATTGAATATCTCCATTCCCTGTTTGACACAAGACTTTGCATGTTGTCTCTTGATTTCGAGCTGCAAAATATTATTATCGAATTTTTAAATCGGTGCATGGATTTCATGAAGCAATATGAACAGGAACAAGACCCCCGGTTTGTGATAATCAACAAAATGATGAATGTGTACAGTTGTGTTTTCTCTCTTTTTTATTTGCGTCTGAATTCCTTTTCAGAATTTCACACAAATAAATTGTCAAAAATTTTGGGCATTGAAAAAAATATTTTTCATTATGATGATCAACCCACTTGGCATATGCTTAACATTTTTAATTTTATAAATTTTAGATACGGATGTTCCTACAGATTTTTGAATACCATTTTTACTTCCTTCCATGTGCTCGTTAATATGCTGGTTAAAATTGACGCCCACGTGGAGATGGACAGGAAGCGCATAGGGAGAGGAAAGTGCAGAGGGGTCACGCAAATGAAGTCAGCGAGGAGCACACATGCCAACAAGGGACAACTACCCAATTACGAACAAGTACAAAAAATCATTGATCGGGAAAAAAGGAAGAAATTGAGGAGCAAAGGAATGCAACAAACAGTACGTGGAGTACGCTTTGGAAAAAGAATCATTTACAAAATTGTAAAAGAGGTGAAGAAAAAAGTTACCGTGAATGGCAAACCCAAAATAAAAAATAGCATTTTAGAAAACATGATTGGGAAGAGGATGAATAAATATTTTGTCAACCCCTTGGGGGGTAAGGTAGGCATGAAGAAATTGGACCACCAAATGGGTGAAATGGGTCATGTAGACCGGAAGGAAGGAGTAGGAAGTGTGTTAAGTAGCACGTTGTGCGGCGCGGAGAAGGCTTACCGCTGGGGTTATCGTGCTGATCCCCTGTCAGCAATTCACACCGAGTCGCACGTAGAAACGATCGCCGCCGCGGACAGGTGTCTAGTGAGCAAAAGTAAAATGGTTGTGAGAACCAAGGGGGGGAAGTTTCAGATGAGCCACTTGAAGCAGAGTAGTCGAAGTCAACGCATTTTACAGAGCTATGGAAATTTAAAAAAAATAAAAAAAAAATTGAAGAGAAAAATAAACAATGTGTGCTATTTTAAATACATTGCCGTGATAAACAAAAGTCAGAATAAAATTTACACCACCCTCAGTCGCACCTATGCTCATATTGTGTTTATACTTATATCAATTTTGCACATTGAAAATTATAACATTTTGCATTTAACAAAGAACCAAGATTTTTTCATTAACAACGATATATACAACGCGTACTATTTATTTTTGCACATCTCGAGCAGCGTCATTTTGTTACTTTCGTCCGTGTTAAAAACGTACTTGCATTTTAATCCCTCTGTGAGGTTAGATAAAGAGGAAATTACTGGGCCAAAACTTGGTCAGACGAAAGGCCTAACTGATGTCGCCAAATGTGGTAAGGGCGTACCACGTGTCAGGGATGAAGACGATATGATTGTCGAAATTTCAAGTGAAGAACAGGGTCACAGCCCAAGGCAGCATTATTTATCACAAGACGGATCGGTGAGCGAAATGTGTAGCAGTGCTAGTATGAGCAATGAAATAACTGATGATAAGGATGGAGAGTTCCGCATTGGACAAAAGGGAGAAGAGAGCGCGAAGAGGTACCAGGTTTATCTGCAAACTCTGCTCAAGTTCAGCTCCATCAACGTTTTATTAATGTCCAAAAAGAAACACAATAAGAGGAACAAAATGAAGAAGAACAAGTACATATTTATATTTTGCAATTTAATAGAAAATTTATTGCAAAATTGTATGTTTTATGTGGACCTTTTTAATAACTGTAAAAATAGGGACGTTCTAGAAATGAACGACGTACTTTCGAAGCTAACGAAGATGTGCAAGGAAAATAACATAATGGATGATTTCATGCAAGTTAAAAAGGAACTCATTTATCATTCCCTATTTAAGTATATACTTCAAGAGGAATATATTAACCATTTTAATAATATGGACAAAAATGAACTATACAATATGAACAAGTGTTCCTTGAATTTATTTTATTTTACTTTAAACATTTTGTTAACCATTTTTAACACGGACATTTCGATTCATTTAGAAAGAAGTCTATTAAACATTTACCATTTTAATAACGACAATTTGTATTATGATTTAATTTTGAATAATGTGAAGAGGACTGTTCGTTATATTAGAGAGAGTTCCAAGTCGTCCTTTAATTGTATCTTTGCGTGTGTGCTGTACTATTTGGGTAAGTGGAAGAAGAACAGAGGCGGGAAAATGCTAAAGGGAAGAAGCAGTGAAGACAAAAATATCCTTTTGAAGAGAAACATCTCCAATCAGAGGTTTGCCTCTTCCTACAATATGGAAGAGGTACAAGGGGGCTTTTTTTTTAACTTGTTATCTAAGGCAAAATGCACAAATGATAATGTGCTAACGGGCAGTGTTAATAATAACTGGAAGGACAATGAGGATGACCACTCCAAATGTTATGCTTGCCCTGGTAAAGATTCATACGGCATTTTTAAGAAGTATGAAAGGATAACCCCTGCGAAGGATAAACATGTTGAAAAACAGACCACACACATGACTGCCCACCAATGGAACGAGAGAAGAATCATGAGCCAACTTGTGTACGACACGATAAGCCCTTATGTGGACATAAAACAGATTAAGGTGTATAACAAAATTTACAGCAACAACCACACGATTAATGGCCTTATTAACATTTGCTTCTCATTTTTGTTTAACAATTTCCTATTTTTGAAGCCTGTCTACCCCTTCGATATAGTTTCAAAGGACAAGAGTGAAAACGAATCATGCAGGAAAAGAATAAGGATGACAAATTACACCCTTGATATATTTAGCATGAAAATGAGTGACATAAAGGCCGTAGAATTGTTCCTCTCGTTGTACATTCACAAGTACATGCAGAGTATATGCTTGGATGTGAAGAAGTTGGTTGATTATAACACGTATATGAATCAGTTTTTTGGTGTGTCCAATAGGAGAAGCGTCAGTATTGCTTTCCCTAACACTGACTACACGTATTTGAACTACGCCACGCGTAATGTGTATTACAAGTTTAACGACTACAACGTTTTACAGTTTTTGATAAATTTTAAAAAGTCTAAAAGCGAGGGCAAGGTAAACTTTGCTCATAGGGGCAACTTCAGATGGGCGTGCCCCCCATCGGCACATATGTGCCCAATTAGCGTTTTTATTTGTTTGGATGGACACTTTTTCTTTCCATTGCCTTTTCTGTTTACTCTATTTCATTTCCACCTGCCCTGTCTCATCCCCGCTTCAGGAGTTCATGATGTCTTTCGTGAAAGTGTTCGAACGGATGATCTCCCTGGATGAGGAAATAAGCACAGATTATACGGATCCCCTGACATACAACGTTTACATGGATTACCTGAACGATCTGTTCTTGAATGACGACTACTACTATGTGTGCTTTTATGAGTACATAAAGAACGTGTACCTGGAGGAGAATGAAGGAGCGTTCCAAATTGAGGATATGGATTGTTACATGAAAGAGCTTAATGAGATAAACCCGTACAGAATAAAAGAAGAAATGAAAAGGAAGTTTGATGAAAATGTGCAGAAAAATTATCTCCTCTTGACAATAAGGAGGAGCAGAAGTAGAAGAGAAAAGGGAACAAGTAGGTCTTGCAAGCTTCACACGCAGCAGACTGGTAAAGACATAGGCGACGTACATAAATTAATCAGCAAGAGGGAGGACAAAATCAAAATTGTTCTGAACAATAATCCATATCACTTCAAAAACGTGTACAGGGTGTTCAAAAATCGGCTATTCAATCTTATAAATAAAAAAAACATTGATTACCTGGAATTAATAAAAGTGCTAAATGTGAAACAATACAATCATTTTAGTAACATGTTTTATTCCTCGTTCATACACATTTTGAGCGAAGTAAAATATGATTACAATAAACAATACAATTTTAATATAGCAAAAGTTATGGACAAATTAAATATTGGATTGAAGGCATCTTTTTATAACAACAAAAATGTAATTTTGTACTACTATACATTTCAGCAGTATTTTCATTTGTATAAATTTTTAGAAGATAAATATTTTTCTGAATTTGTCTTGCCAGAATATATATTATTAAATATTCCTTCCAGATTTGTTAATAATATTTTGTACAATACAAATTTGTATCGAATTTATTGCTTTTTGAAATTTTTGTATATCCGAAATGTGCTGAAGCATGCAGACATTTTGCTGAATTTTTTGCTTTATGTTTATTATAAATATTTCCATTATCATTATAGAGGAAAAGATGAATTTTCTCATCATTTTATTGATTTATTTTTGAGCATTCATGAGGAATCGTATAATAACAGCTTGTTGGTCACGGAGCTTAAGGCGAAGGAAAGCTGTGTGGAGAACAACCTACGAGAGAGGGGCAATCCTCCGGCCAAGAATTCAGTGTTCGGGGAAATCGCCTTTACCGCTTCAGCCAAGGAGGGATCACATGGAAAAGACGAGATAGGGATGGACACGACCAAGCGTGATGACAAAAACGACGACATAATCACAGGGGAGGAAATGTACAACGATGATAAACACGCAATTAAGGGCGGTAGACAAACACAGAGCGCATACCAAGAGATTAGCAACTACGACCTGGTATTGTCAAACTCGCAAAACAGATTTTTACATCTTTTATTTTTTAAAATACTAGTCAATTGTGTCAAGTCCAAAATTAACATCCTCAACGCAAAGAATCTTTTCAACAATCTGAATTTTTTCATTTCTTCCTACGTTAAGTACTCCCTGTTTTACGCATTTGAAGAAAAAAATAAAGCTTTCATGGATGCCCTAAGACATAAGTATTCGTTTTATAATTTCCAGGCTGTGAAGAAAAATTTGAAAATGTGTGTGTACTTAAAAAATGTCTACCTTAAGGGGGACCTTTTTAACAGCGACATTTTGTCCTTCCTCAACATAGAGTGTAGAGACAAGAGGCCTCATGCTTATGGAGGGATGTCCAAAAAAAAAAAAAAAGGAAGATATGCGAACTATGGTGCACCCCAATTGATGAAGGAACAATTTGGTACCTCTCAAATTTTGCAGCATGTTCGTGTAGGGGATCACTCGTCAGAGTCACCAGAACGGTGCAGCGGATTCGAGTGTCAGAACGATGAAACTGCCAATAGGAAAAGGGCAATCGGTGTTAAAGAGAAGGATGTGCGTGGTGTTGAATGGAGCAATAATAACGAAATGAATAAGAAGAAAAAGTTACTCTCCGGAGAGGCATGTCCAATTCAGGGAGGCGCAGAAGCTAATTGGGAGGAAAATTATCGTGGCAATAATGTAGAGGAAATTTTGACAGACGCAGAAAACCAAATTGTTGGTGCACAAACCATAAGAGTAAAAAGGGAGGTGGAAGAAAAATACGCAAATGTGAAAAGATTCAACGAGGGAGATGTCTTTCAAAGTGAAAAAAAGGAAGAGCAGGAAGAGGACGTGGACGAGGAAGACAAGAGCAATTCCCGTGAAGGAGAAAGCTCGCATGACCAAATTTTCTGCTTGAACAACTTGGAAGACGCTAACAAGGGGCACCACACGCGGGTTGACGCCCACGCGCACCAAGTTAAAGTAAAAAAAGAAGAGCTGAGCGATGGAAATGATACCCAGGCGTCCATAAATTCGCTAACCAAAGCAGATGTGTTACGAAAACAGTTTTTTAAAAAAAGGAGTAGCAAACAGATTTCAAAAAAGTACTACATCAACATGTTAAAGTTTTACTTAGAAAACAGGGCACAAGAGTATGCTCTAAATTATGAGGAATTCCAGAAGATGGAGGACAAATCGATTTACTTGGTGTTTTTATTTTTAGGAAAAATTTTTCAATTCCTTTTTAATTCACTCTTATCGCAAAGCTGGCGTCAGAGTGATGAAGATAAAAATTACAACAAAAGAGAACGCGACATGAAGGAGGATTTAAAGGATGCGCCGGAATGTCTGGACAGCTCCTATACATATGAAAATCTTCTTGTGTACTTTATGCTAATTACCATGTGTCATTACGCGGACAGCCTAATATTTCTGAGTGTTCACTATTTGGACCTTGACCAAATCGGTTCCAAACAAAGCGTTACATTGCAGGGTAACTCCGAGCAAAGTACTTCTCAGAAGGGCACCCTACAGCAGCCCTTACCCGCCAACGACGAGAACACGGCTTGGTCCCCCAAGCAAGAACTGAACAAGTATAATCTGGCCTGTGAACAGGACAGGAATGCTCGTGGGGAAGGGGACCACAAGGGCAACAAAAATCAAAACAAAACTTGCAATAGCTATATGAAAAGGTTAAATTATTGTGAAAAGTTACGAATTGAGAGAAGCCCTGGGAAACACGAAGACGGTAGTAGCAAGAATGGAAATGGTTATGAAAACAATTTGGAGGGTAAGAATTTTGTTTTGAAACCATCGTTCACGAGCACTAGCAGTTATTATATGTGCAGAAATGAGGCAGTCTACATTATGAATGAAGATAAGGAAAGCACACAAATGATCATTCCCTTGTATAAATTATTGGTGACTCGATTGAAAATTTGCTTATATTATCCCAAGTACTTTTTCCTGGCTTCACTGTTTAGTTACAAATACGACACAAAGTTGTCGGATGATCTGCTTAACCATGTGAAGGATCTAAATTTAAGTGAAGATGTTAAATATTATACATGTGCTGTGAATAATAATGGCAAAGGTGCTCTTTCTAAACTTGATGGGGATGGCAATGGAGATGTTGCCAACGGATGCAGTATGGTGGAGGCCCTGAACAGAGGCGAACAGGCTGACCCCTTAAGGGGTCACTTCACCAATGGCATAAACAGTGATGAGAGTAACGAGGAAGAGAATGACGCACATGCAAAAAATGGCAGCCTCGCGTTTGTGAAGAGAAAACCATGCTTGAGCATGTGTGTGCATTATTACACTGATTATCACGAAAATGGGGACTCCAATGACTACAATTTACCATCTCTTTACAATTCATCTAACAGCATGGAATATGAAGATGCAAACCTCGACATGGAGGCGAGCGCAGGGGGACAAAATGGAAGGAAGCACGTGAAGGAGAACAGTGTTCAAAAGGATGGCACGGGTGAGGTGGCGAAACAGCAGGAGGAGCAGGACGCGTATGACAGAGAGCTAGACGAAAAAGACATGAACGAATTCAATTACGATGTACAGAAATTAAAGGTGGTAATAAAGAACATTGAAATTAGGTACGAAGATGTCCTTAATGATATAATCGAAGGCTTAAATTTCATTGCGGAAAATAAAAGCTGCGGAAATTACAATTCACAAGCAGCATACCACCTTTGCATCTACTACTTTATGAGAAAGAATTTTACAAAGTGTATTCATTATGTGAAATTTTTCATCAGCAAAGGGAATTTTAAAATTTGGCAAAATGATTCCTTCAACCAGGACTACTACAACTTGTATTGCAAAAGAGTCCAAAGGAGTGATTTTATGTTCATCAAATATTTCACCATTGTTCTAGAAGTTACTAAAAACGTTTTGAAAAATGTCCTAAGTAAAATATACGAAGAAATGTTGTGCGCAAATGGGAAGGTGCTGGAGGGAAAGTGGTTCATGGGAGGAGACTTCGCCTCTACCCATTTGGGAAAAATGCTAGTAGATGAAAAAGTTTTAGATTTATTTAAGGAAGAAAAGGAGGAAAGGACACCGTTTGAAACTCCAGTCAAAAGCGCAGACGAAGGTAAAGCGGATGAAGGTAATGCAGATGGAAGCAGGACAAAAGAGCAGACAGAAACCAATGTAAATGAATATAAGATCTCCCCCAATAAGGAAAATGCGAACGATACGAAGGAAAGACCCATCCTGAACGACGTCACAAGGGACATGAATGACCCAGCTGAGATGGCAGAAGGGGCAAAAGCGGCAGAAGAGGCAACAGCAGCAGAAGAGGCAACAGCGGCAGAAGAGGCAACAGCGGCAGAAGAGGGTAACAGTGTACCCAAGCAAAAGGAGGACAAATTGGTAGAAATTGAAAATAAGTGGATATATTTAGGGTATGACCATTTGGACCACTTAAACGAAATTTACGACCTACTGAAAATCCTGTTAGAAATTTACATGTACATGGGCAAAACAATTAAAAGGTTTAACCATTTTAAGGTATTGGAAGAAGCAACTGTCATATATGGGTACAACGTTTCAGTAATTAATGTTCTTTTCAAAGTTATTACGGAACATTTATGTTTCATTTTTGAAGTGCTGTGTTATTTTACTCCACACATTTTGGTTTATCCAATAATTTTGTTATTCGCGAATGATGGGATGATACCTTGTACCGTCTCAGGGGGGAATTCTGAAAATGTGGCGGACACTCCTCGTAGGAGTACCTCCCCGGTTAGCAACAAATACAGTTATTTAAAACGAGCCGCAAATAATGAAGAGTTAATGTGCAACAGTTCATGTGCTACTCTAGATTTGAGAATATTTAAGTTGTTCAGAGAATTCCTAGCGAATAAATCTGTCACCATGCCAGCTAGTCTATCCACAAGGATGCACAACATCTTTCTCCTGACTTGTAAAAAGGTTTTGTATTATCAAAAGAGCGAACAGGACATCGTTAAAAACTTAAAATCGTATAACAGGACGGGGAACAAGAAAAAGTGGGAAGGTATAATCAAATTTGTGGACAATGTGCTTAATAACGGAAATAAAACAAATTTGTCAGAATTTTTAAATTTATTTAATAATGGAAAATTATTAAACTGTACCAATTATTTGAATTGCGAAAATGTAAAATTTTTAACGAGCAAGCTGAATTATAACTCCAGCTGTACAGATATGAATAAAAATACGCAGCCAAATCATTTGGACAATAACAGTATTGAAAAGGCAACCTGTGAGGTAGATAAGGAACGTATCATTTGTACTGCCAACGATGTAGGAAATGACCTACCAGCTGATGTTAACACGTCCGTGTTGAGTAACAACGATTCTGTGGATGAACACAAAAGCAAAGAATGGGTCCTTTATCATATAAAATTAAATAGCGATAAGCATATTTTCCTGTACGACGATTTTGATATCCTTAACAATATGAAAACGAAGAATGAGGCATTGAATTGCGTTAACGCTATGTTATCGGATAAGAATTCTGCGACCAAAAAGGGAGAAACGTCTAACTGGAAGAAGCGCAAAGCCATGGATACGACTATGACGGATGCGAAGAACGCCATACGCGAGCGAGACTTGAGGAGGCTGAATAGGGAAAAAAGCAAAGTTGTGTAGAAAATGGGGGTGGCATGGGACAGAACTGGACGGGAGGCAGAGAAGCCTTTTATATGACGTACCGCCGCTAGGAGTGGCACCCATGGGTGTTTTTTTTTTTTTTTTTTTTTGTATCAACTCTGTTGTTAGCTCAGTACGCATGTGATAGCTTTACACCTGGGGCCAAGGAGCAGTACCACGCCTACACCTGCGTTTGTGTAAGAATGCCCGCCACACCAAGGCTTGGGTTCTTCCTTATACATTCTGAGAACAAATACGTTTTCGTCAAAGGTAAAAACATTTGTGTAACCATATTTTTTTTTTTTTCATCACAATGAAACTTTCTAATATGACACTATATAGAGAGTGTAAGAAACTTGTGGACATTGATCCCGCGGTACGTGTGCCGTTACCTTTTCTGTGGCAGTATGTGAGCCGTTTTGTATGATTCCCCGTTAATCGCCAAAGGAATGTCTTTTCCTATATGCTCAATTAGGATAAAGGCACCTTTTACGCTTCGCTTATTTCGTTTCGCTTGTCATTGGTGGGAGATATCCCCCGTGTGATCTGCGAAGAGCGGGGTTACATTTCCCGTTATGGATATGGGGTCAAAACCTGGACGCGTTGTAAGGGGCTACACAACCTCAAGGTGCTTAAATTGTTTACCGCCACACGTTTCACAAACCAAAGGAACAAATCATTTAACCCAATTTTAAGAGCAGCTGTTTTTACAGCCGCTTTTTCTAGTGAACCACTTTGCCAGCGACTGCACTTGCTAAATGAGGAATACAAAAATTTTACTTGTTCTTTTCTTAGTTTTTTTGTTAAATATTTTAATTTAAAAAATTGGGTAAATGTAAATTTACTAAATATGTACACAACGTATGTAATGTATATATGTATGTTCGTATATACCCATGTATATTTCTACTTGGGATGGAAAAAAAAAAAAAAAAAAAGTGTATATGTACTTTTTCATATATTTTAATTAGTACGTGTAGGAAGTCGTCCTTTCGCAACATGTTTGCATATTTATGTGTTCGTGAATTGGTCCCATAGTTCTTCTCGCATGAAAAACGCTTCTGTTCGTTGTTACCTCTTTAGAGGATGTGGTTAAAATACTGTAAGCTTCTCCATTGTAGACCATTTACTCAATTTTTTTCCTAAAGGAGCAACCTTCTGTTAATTTGCATTTTCCACCCGTCGGTTGGCACAACATAATGTTGCAGCTATAATGGGAAAAAAAACAAAAAAAATTCCAAATGTGTGTGAATTATAAATAAATTGTCCAAGCGCTTGGCTTAGGGATCATTAAATGAAAATTATGTGGCAAACAAAGAATAGGTAAACGCAGGGTAATGAGCAGTTCATGGGAAAAACGGAAAAGAGGAAACCAGTATATAAGTTAAACACATGCCTATAGCGCCAAATCGACGTTGGGCAGGCGATCATGCATACAGCCTGGGTAGTCATTTTTCTCTTTTTTCCTTGTTTGGCTTACCTTCCACACAATACAACATTTTGGGCATGGCTAAACAAGGTGGTGATTTGAAGACATCCTGGGCATTTTACATCCATAAAATAAGAATTGGGGCTTGGAATTAATCTCTTTAATTTATGTTTCTTGGCCTCTTCAGCGGGGTCACGATTTAACAGATCGACATTCATTTTGAAATGTAAGTGTTTGATAGGTAGGAATTGTATGGGGCGGTTGGGGTTGAGGGGATTCAAATTTGAAGCAGTTAATTCGTATAGCGTGTACGTAAATATTTGCGAGTACGCTTACATATACCTTTATTGCATAAAACACTTGTTACGTAAAGATTTATTTACACTGTTGTTTGCAATTGCTATATACACTCGTTTGTTAAATAAAAAAACACAAAGGCTACTTTTTGAATATAATGGCGCGCTCTGGTACATACGATGGGTTCAGTTAAAGGATGATTTGTTTATGGAAATGACGCAAAATGAAATAATATTTTTTTTCTATAAATTTATATTCAACTTTTTTAATTTTTTTGTTTGATTTATTTTTCTTCTTTTTTTTTTTCGGTTTTTGGGGAATACATATATAACAATGTTTTTGTTACAATATAAAACAATAAATATTTGTAAACTGAATTTTTTTTTTTTTTCAAATGCAGGCTGCGGTTTAGGGCCGGTTATTGTTATATGTTATGTTTTTATTTGCTTGCTTTTCGGGCGAAAGAAAAAAGGGAACACGAATTATCCCTGATGAAATGCACTTGCTCCTATCCACATATGCATTCCTTTTAATATGCGCATATGTTTTTATAAGCAGCGATAAAGTTGTACCATTGCTAACATGTGAATACATGAATAAAACAACATATTCCATATGTTTTATAATGTACATAAATAAATAAGAAGTGGGCGTGCCTTTCTTTATATTTTTTTATAACAAATGCAGAGTTTTTTTTTCTTGCAATGTAAACTTTATGCGGCAGGAGTGTAGCTCTTGCAGGGCGCGCGAACAGCAGCACAAGGTTCCGATTCAAAGGGGGCAATATGTAAATGCGGCATATGGTGGTTAAAAGGGCATGTTTTATTTGGCTACAGCGTTTGGCGACTCCGCCATGAAATCACATGCCGCTTCACCGTTTCAACGCGTACCCACCACATCCATGAAGCTACAAATTTAGCGCTTCCAATTTTCATTATCACTCGATAAAACAGCTTAACGTCATGAGGTAAAAATATTTATTTTTTGTTTTTTCCCTCGAAAAAAGTGAATGCAAATTTTTGGCATTTAATAAAGGAGTGGAAGGCGCGTGTTCGAACGCAGAGAATAATGTGCTACACACATTTGTCACATTCTTAAGCGCTGCCGAAATGGCTACAAATCTGACAGCTAGGAAAACAGCAGGTATCGCAATTCGACGTTAAATGAAAAAAATGCTCTACACGCATGGAAATATATATATGGATATATTGTAGCCTCTTTCCCTGTTCCACTTGATTGCTAAAAAATAGAACAGAGTCACCTTGTGGCACGAAAAATTCATTCATTTTTAAAACTCATATTTGAGGCGGGGAAAACAAGAAGAAACCCACTTTATATACGTATTAATGAGTCCACTTAAGCCGGAATGTGTCACCATGTTGGAAGAACACCGTTGTGGATATTTGTTTTTCACCTTCGTATAAATTTTGCTCACAGTTCTACGTCTTATTGTTGAATTTTTTTTTTTCGCGAAAGGATTCATTTTTTTTGGAACCATTTTTTGTTAACACCTGTTTCAAATTCATGTGTAACTTTTTTCATTCCTGTTTGTATTAAACGTTCTGTTTAGGTACACTTTTCATGTGGCCTATTACACATGTATGCACAGGCAAGTGCGCATATGCGCGTACTTATTTGTTTGGTGATGGATTGGTCTGGCGGTTATCGCGCAGTGTGTTGCCAGTCTAAAGGGCAAAAAGGAGTTATTGTAGTACGTGGCCCAAAAGTTCTCCTCCAAAAATCGGAAACGGACAAATTACTCAGCATAAATGTAAAATGCATATGTACACTTATTGTGGGCCACACATATGGAGCGGTTTTTCATTCCCATCAAAAATCAAATATTTGTATATCATTCTTTGTTCTAAATTTTAACTTAATGTGTTTGATCTGACATGGGTACAAATGTAGGTTTTGCGCACATTTTCAATTTAAGAGGAATTTAATTTTACATTTCCGTGAAGGACAAATGGATGACTTGAACCGTTGCCTTTTTATTCACTTACTATATGCATCATAGTATTTAGGGTGCGCCAAAAAAATGATTAAAAAGAAAAAGGGTATGCCACAAAAACGCATAATAATATTTTTGTATAAGCTTTGAATAATTTTACAAATAACCCCCATGGATATATATTTTACATATTATACGGTAATGGGAAAAAGTCAGCACCTACATGGAGTACTTTTTACCCACGTGAAGAATTTGAAATACAAGCCTTCCTTTTTTACAAAAGGGGGGCACCTGCTTGTAATACATATGTTGGTGCCGACGTGAATTGTTATGCATATAGCGGTATGCACTTATATTATGTATGTACAAAATATTTACGCACCGCAAAATGCTTCACAATTGACGCAATGGTGCCATATAAATTTGCCATTAAGCGCAGCTTAAACTAAGGCAAAAAAAAAAAACATTCTCATACAGGCCAAATTGCTGGAATGTAAATCCTTCCCCGCTTACGGATGTTAAAGCAAAACGCTTAAAACAAAAAAAAAGGAAATTGACACGGGCACAAAAAATAATTTTTTTATTCGCATGTTTATATATAGGCACATCCTATATGCGCATAAGGCGCCACGCAATGGAGCTTATAAAAAAATACATTATCAAAAGCGTCAAATAAAAATTAAATGCAAAACTTGTACAGAACTGTACAAAATTTGTACAAGAAAGCACGCGTAGATGCAAGGGGTCAGTTAGCCCATTAATATATATATTTATATATATATTATATATGTATATATATTAACATGTGAAGGCATAAGAAAAAATATATATTATAACGAAATACTGCAGCATAGCGTAAAGATAACCAAAAAATAAAAGCAAACAGGGAGAAGAAAAGCGCAGAACAGATTTTAATTATATAACTACGCTCTGCTCCAAAACAGAGCTGTACTTTTTTAAGCATATTACTTTTAACTCTGTTTTTTCTGACCATATTATGAAAAAAAAAAAAAAAAAAAAACAGTTTGCTTTGCATCTTATTTTTATTTTTCTTCATGTACTGCGTTCTTAAACTTCACGATGTTAATTATGTAAACATGAACATGTATGCGCTAGAACAAATTATCAGGAGTTTACATTTTGCAAAATCAGGAGCATATCCCTTTATGCTTTGACGCCTTGTTCTCTCTCTCTCTCTTTTTGTTTTTTACTTAAAATTTTAATTCCCTTTTCAAGAACATGATGAGCACGGAATTCTGGCCTGACTATGGTACGGTTGCACAGAGCGAACACACATTTACATGAGAATATGTACATATATATGGGAGTCTGCACAAGATGCAGTTCGATAAGGGCATATGCGCATAGACAGCAAGGGAAACCACCCTGCGCTGGCAAATGTGCCGGTGCCTAATTGTGTACTTTCTAAGTTGCATATTCCTGTACGCCTCCCACAAACATGCCCGTGTGACTTCTTTTCCTGCAACCCGTGTACAGATTATAAAACCGTGGGGAAGCTGATTCTCGAAGATGACACCGAGTTCGTAGGATACAGTGTTGGGTACGAAGGGTGCAAAGAAGAAGAGAAAGCTGCTCCAAAGAAGGAAGACACGAAAAGAAGTATTTCTGACCAAGTGCTGGAAACAAAAAACTACTTGAAGGAGGATGTGTTATTTAAAAATAGTAAAATTGAAAATGATGATTATATAGTAACGGGAGAAGTTATATTCAACACAGCTATGGTTGGGTACCCAGAAGCTTTAACGGACCCGAGTTACTTTGGACAGATACTTGTATTAACATTTCCATCCATTGGAAATTATGGCGTGGAAAAAGTACAACATAATAATTTTGGGTTGGTGACAAATTTCGAAAGCAATAAAATACAAATTCAAGGGTTAGTAATATGTGAGTACACAAAAAAGTCGTACCATTATAATTCGTTTATTACACTAAGTGAGTGGCTCAAATTGTATAAAGTGCCGTGCATAGGTGGAATAGATACCAGGGCCTTAACAAAAATTTTGAGAGAGAAAGGAAGCATGTTAGGGAAAATTGTGATTTATAAAAATGCAAAAAATGTAAATAAGCTATATAAAGAAATAAGCTTATTTGACCCAGGACAGATCGACACCATCAAGTATGTATGTAGTCATTACATTCGAGTTATAAAATTGGGGAAAGTAAATTATTATAACAATTGTAAGAGTAAAGAAGATTCGAAAGGGATAAATGATACCAATGATTATTCCCCCGAGGAACAAGAAAATTGTAATAACAGCCTTATGCATAGCAATAGCTATAATTACCAAAGTATTTCTTCATTCGAAAAAATGGACTCTAACAAAAATTTAAATCAGCATTCCTTGCTAAGGGATAGAATGAATCTTTTGGTCTCATCAGAAGAGAATATTGATCATTGTAGTGGCTACCAGGAGTATAGCACCCATGGGGGAAAGAAGGATGCGTTTTTTAACCTACGTGGTGCATGCGAATATGATAAGTATTTAATAGATTTGGAGGAAAATTCCTTCTTCCACGATGGCAATGTGGACGAGTATGGCCACTACGATGTGGAGATGAGTCTGCATAAGAGTGGACTGAGTGGTGCGGGAAGGAAGGTGTGTACCGCGAATGGAAAAGATGAGCATGGCGCCACGCAGGATGAGGCAACCTTCAACCTCAATAATGACTACTCCACGTACTTAAAAAAAAAACTGAAGAATGAGGAATTTCTCAAGCTTGTGAACAAGAGAAAATCTGACACGGAAAAAATTATCGTTGTTGTAGATTGCGGGATTAAAAACAGTATAATAAAGAACCTAATGAAAAATGGCAAAGACTTACCCTTGACGTATATCATTGTGCCATATTACTACGACTATAACAGTATAGATTACGACGCAGTTTTGCTGTCCAACGGTCCAGGGGATCCCAAAAAATGTGACTTTTTAATTGAAACATTGAAGAAAAGCTTACAAAAAAATAAGCTCATATTTGGTATCTGCTTAGGTAATCAGCTATTGGGTATTTCTCTCGGATGCGAGACGTACAAAATGAAGTACGGGAATAGAGGGGTAAACCAACCCGTTATCCAACTGGTAGATAACAAATGTTACATAACATCGCAAAATCATGGGTACTGTTTGAAGAAGAAAAGTATACTGAGAAGGAAGGAGTTGGCCATTAGCTACGTGAACGCGAATGACAAATCGGTAGAAGGAATTACCCACAAGAATGGAAGATTTTACAGTGTTCAGTTTCACCCTGAGGGGAATAACGGACCAGAAGATACTTCCTTCCTTTTTAAAAATTTCCTCATAGATATATTTAACAAAAAAAGAGAATTTAGGGAACATATCGGACATAACATAATTTACATAAAAAAAAAAGTGCTTCTCCTTGGTAGCGGTGGACTATGTATAGGGCAAGCAGGAGAATTTGATTACTCAGGAACTCAGGCTATTAAAAGTTTGAAAGAGTGTGGCATCTATGTAATTTTAGTGAACCCTAATATTGCCACGGTGCAAACGTCGAAGGGGTTAGCGGATAAGGTATATTTTTTACCCGTGAATTGCGAATTTGTAGAAAAAATTATAAAAAAGGAAAAACCCGATTTCATTTTGTGTACCTTTGGTGGGCAAACTGCGCTGAACTGTGCACTCATGTTGGAGCAGAAAAAAATTCTGAAAAAAAATAATTGCTTAGCTCTGGGGACATCCTTAGAATCCATTATGATAACAGAAAATAGGAGCATGTTTGCAGAAAAGCTGCGAGAAATTAATGAAATTATAGCCCCTTATGGAAGTGCTAGAAATGTAGAACAAGCCATTGAAGTGGCTAACAAAATTGGGTACCCCATATTAGTACGCACGACGTTTTCCCTAGGAGGACTAAACAGTAGTTTCATAAATAACGAAGAGGAGTTAGTGAAAAAGTGCAAAGAAATATTCCTGCAAACGGATAATGAAATATTTATAGACAAGTCATTAAAAGGATGGAAAGAAATAGAATACGAATTGTTAAGAGATAACAAGAATAATTGTATAGCAATTTGTAACATGGAAAATATAGATCCTCTGGGTATCCACACAGGAGACAGTATCGTGGTTGCTCCTTCTCAGACCCTGAGTAACCACGAATATTATAAATTTCGTGAAATAGCCCTGAAGGTTATCACTCACTTGAACATTATTGGGGAATGTAATATTCAATTCGGTATTAACCCTAAAACGGGAGAATATTGCATTATCGAGGTGAATGCCAGACTGAGCAGAAGTTCAGCACTTGCGTCCAAGGCTACAGGGTACCCATTGGCTTACATATCTGCTAAAATAGCGCTTGGATATGATTTGATTAGCTTAAAAAATAGTATTACCAAGAAAACTACTGCTTGTTTTGAGCCTTCCCTTGATTACATAACGACAAAAATTCCAAGGTGGGATTTAAACAAATTTGAGTTTGCCTCGAAAACAATGAATAGCAGTATGAAAAGTGTTGGTGAAGTTATGTCCATAGGGAGGACCTTTGAAGAATCCATACAGAAATCGCTTAGATGTATAGATGATAATTACCTAGGGTTCAGTAACACATATTGTATTGATTGGGATGAGGCAAAAATTGTGGATGAGTTGAAGAACCCATCTCCAAAAAGGATAGATGCAATTCACCAAGCTTTTCATTTGAACATCCCAATGGAAAAAATTCACGAACTGACGAATATAGAGTACTGGTTTTTACACAAATTTTACAACATTTTTAATTTGCAAAATAAGCTAAAAACGTTATCGTTGGAACAGCTCTCCTTTCATGACTTGAAATATTTTAAGAAGCACGGATTCAGTGACAAGCAAATTGCTCATTACCTCTCCTTTAACAATCCAAAGGTTACTGAAGCGGGTGTCATGAGGTACAGAGAAAGCTTAGGACTACATCCGCACATAAAAGTTATTGATACCCTATCTGCTGAATTTCCAGCCTTAACTAATTATTTGTATTTGACGTACCAAGGAGTTGAACATGACGTATTGCCTCTTAACATGAAGAGGAAGAAAAAATTGTCTACGGAGCATTACGCGAAAAAGGGGAATAAGGCAGGAAATTGTGTGTACCCCCCTCATATTTCTTCTGACATGCAGGAGAAGAATGTGGTGAAGCAGATGCAGCTGGGTTGTGATGAGAATGTTTATGACGAGCCATTTGATAACGATATAGATGTGACTTTCATGAGTACAAAGATGGAAGGAACTGTAGGGAAAAACGACAAGATGATCGGTTCATGCCCATTTGGAGGTTTTAAAAGGGAGGAGGGTCCCGAGGGAACACAAATGAATGTACATGCGAGTGCGTCCAATCAACTGCTTAATAAAGACGGGAAAGAGGAGAAGAGCATAGGATCAGACGAAACGAATGTATTTAGTGTGAAAAATGGTTCAAATAATATTTCCATGCCCAGTGCTCATAACATCGCCGACAGTACAATGGTGAATAAAGACCCACAAAGTGCCACACAGGAGGGGCAAGACAGCAAACACATCAAAGGATACAGTGCAAATTACACAGGCAAAGATGGCTGCAATAAGAAATTGCAAAATAGCGAAGCATTGATGAATCATAGAATGGACGACATCTCAAACAAAAGTTCGCACTCGACTAATGATCAGTTGTACTTGGAAAATGTGAACACATCAGATGAAGAAATGACCAACAAAAATGGAAATGCATATTACATATCAAAGAAGAAAATGAACTTTTCAGATAGTAAGGGGACAGGAAGTCTGTACTACGTGGAGGACTCCGTGTACAATAATGAATACAAAATGAGCAAAATGAAAGAGTTAATTAATAGCGAGAACACGGACAGTAATGACAGTCTGCAGTTTGAGCAGCGTGGATTTGTTGTGAAATCGGGACAAGTGGGAGCACAATTCAGGGCAACTGCCGCAGGTGAAAATTCTATTGCGATGCATGTCCCGCACTATACTGGCCGTAAGGTGAATTTGGGTAAAGGGGACAACCTTCATCATTACGAAACTGAAAGGGAAAGAAGCAAAGGAAGGAGTAGCAAGGGAAAAAGGGAGACCAAACTGAACAACAATGGTATAAATTTGGATGATAGTAACAGCGACTGCTTCTCCGAATTGTCGTACTTGCGCCATTGCACCAAATCAAGTGATGCAGAAAATGACGACATTGACGATGATGACGATGCTTATTACAATGGGGGGGAGGACGTGTACACGTGCAGCACAGATAATGGCCTCTTTGATGAATATGCAGAATCGTACAACACTTTTTCTTCTAAGGAATCTGAAGGATCGTCCATATATTCCGAGAGTGAAAACATCTTTAGCAAAAAATTTAACGATATTGGTTTTAAGATAATTCATGATAGGAATGAAGAGGAGAAAGAAAAGAAAAAATGTTTCATTGTGTTAGGATGTGGGTGCTATAGAATTGGTAGCTCAGTCGAATTTGACTGGAGTGCAATCCATTGCGTAAAAACGATTAGGAAATTAAACCACAAGGCAATCCTAATAAACTGCAACCCAGAAACGGTCAGTACAGACTACGACGAAAGTGACAGATTGTACTTTGACGAAATTAGCACTGAAGTTATAAAATTTATTTACAACTTTGAAAGGAGCCACGGTGTTATAATAGCGTTCGGAGGACAGACATCCAACAATTTGGTGTTCAGCTTGTACAAGAATAATGTTAACATTTTAGGGACAAGTGCAAAGAGTGTAGATTGCTGCGAAAATAGAAACAAATTTTCCAACCTTTGTGATTCTTTAAAAATAGATCAACCCAAATGGAACAAATTTACCAAACTTTCTAAAGCTATACAATTTGCAAATGAGGTGAAGTTCCCGGTTTTGGTGAGGCCGTCATATGTCCTCTCTGGCGCCGCCATGAGAGTTGTAAATTGCTTTGAAGAATTAAAAAATTTCCTCATGAAAGCGGCAATCGTTAGTAAGGACAATCCGGTGGTCATTTCTAAATTTATTGAAAATGCGAAAGAAATAGAAATTGACTGTGTGAGCAAAAATGGGAAAATTATAAATTATGCCATTTCGGAGCACGTCGAAAATGCAGGTGTACATTCAGGAGATGCCACTTTGATACTTCCTGCACAGAATATTTACGTAGAAACACACAGAAAAATAAAAAAAATTTCGGAGAAAATTTCCAAATCGTTGAACATTTCTGGACCCTTTAACATTCAGTTCATTTGCCACCAGAATGAAATAAAAATTATTGAATGTAATTTGAGGGCGTCTCGAACTTTTCCTTTCATTTCCAAAGCCCTAAATCTGAACTTTATCGATTTAGCTACCAGAATTTTAATGGGTTATGATGTGAAGCCAATTAATATATCCCTCATAGATTTAGAATACACTGCTGTGAAATCTCCCATATTTTCCTTCAACCGACTGCACGGATCTGATTGCATCCTGGGTGTAGAAATGAAGTCCACTGGAGAAGTCGCATGTTTTGGTCTGAACAAATACGAAGCTTTGCTAAAGTCCTTGATAGCCACTGGCATGAAATTACCAAAAAAATCTATCCTCATAAGTATTAAAAATTTAAACAACAAGCTAGCCTTTGAAGAACCATTCCAGCTGCTTTTCCTAATGGGGTTTACCATTTACGCAACTGAAGGAACGTACGATTTTTATTCGAAATTTCTGGAATCCTTTAACGTTACCAAGGGATCCAAATTTCACCAGAGACTCATCCGAGTGCATAATAAGAGCTCAGAAAATCTGATGCCCAACATTACCGATTTGATCATGAACCACAAGGTAGAAATGGTTATCAATATTACGGATACGCTTAAAACCAAGGTCAGCTCTAATGGATATAAGATAAGGCGTCTCGCCTCAGACTTCCAGGTGCCCCTGATAACGAACATGAAGCTGTCCTCGCTGTTCATAGACTCCCTGTACAGGAAGTTCTCTCGCAGGAAGGAGAAGAAGCCCTTCTACACCATTAAGAGCTACGACGAGTACATAAGTTTGGTGTAGAGAGGAACGCGGCAATAGGGAAAAGTAGCGGGTGGTAACAAAACTTGTGCTGCACGCGGCACACATGCTTAAATGCGCAAATGTGTGTGAGGAATTGCGTGTGTGAAAGCATTTCAGAATCCCCTGCAGTGCGACATTTTAAAAAAAAAAATAAGCGCAAATATATTATGCCTCACGGAGAACCCTAAATGGGTACGATGTTCGTGCAAGATATATGTTCCCCCTTTTAGCTGTTACGTTTGTTTTGCCTGTGATATAGCTCATCTTTTTTCTTTTTTTTTTTTTTTTTATTTTCTGTGCTCACCCATTTTTGTAGTGCCTCACTCCAACACGTTAAGTCCTTTTGTCACTTGTAGTCCCAGTGTTTTCGCGTACGCTTGTGCGTTCGTGTTTTTACAAGTCCACCCAGTGCAGACATATTTGTGTTCATTTCCAGTGCTTTTGGCCTCTGCGTGCATGGGGCGAATTCATACATATAATTACATACCCCATATATATGCCCCTTTGTACATACGTACGTAAATATATACATGTAAATATTTTCACACATGTGTGCATATTTTTTCTTCTCCCAATACACGCTATCACAACATATTTGTGAGCAAGTAGCAAGTAGAAGGGGGAAAAAAAAAACACCCTTTGCGATAACAAATTTTAAATAGTAGGCGAATTTTTGAACTACTCAAAATGTCAACCAAGGGGGGTCACCCCGTTGGCAAGTATACATATACAAAATTATAGGTGGGCATAAAGAAGGGGCATTAAAAAGGTGAATAAGAAATTTGATACACACAAAAAAAAAATAAAATAAAAAAAAAAAAAAAAAAGCGCGTTTCTGCGATTTTTTAGTTGACTTGTTATCGTTCACAACTTTCTAGCAGTTCAGTCACATGGTTCTGTTTCACACGATGTGCTTCACTTTTTTATCACTCGAGAGCCTGCAGCAGTATGTCCAAGTCGTCCTGTGTGTTGACTTGGTTTGTTCCACTTTGTGCATTATCTGCACCGCTTGCTGTATGCGCCTTGGCAGAGTTGTTAGCCTGCATGGCGTTTTCCTTTTTATGAATTTCCTCTTGAATGGCTATTTGTCTCTTTAATTCATCGTGTATATCTAGAAACAACGAATCCTCTAGCGAGTTTAAAATGTCTTGAACGAGAATTGTGCTTTTCTTTTCACTTTCGCAATGTTCCAAGGCTCCATCAGTAATGTACAAAATGAACATGGACAAACATCGTCCCAAAGTGGTAACTGCTTCTTTCCTTATTTTGTAATTTTTCAAATTTATATTATTATGTATTATTTTCAATATTACGCTGTTTGGTAAACCAAAAATGGTTTCTTTGATAATATCTATATTTTCTGTGTTTTTTTGTGTTTCCATGTTTTTTGTGCAGGTGGTTTGAAGTGTTGCGAGAGAGCGGACCAAAGGGGGGTATATTATACTATATATGTTGCGAAAAAACCATATGTGGTTGGGAGAAGCAGAGTGGGGTAAAGAATAAATCGTTATATATGGACCCGTATGCTGAGTGAAACAAGCACTGCCTCGTTAATTACTTTCGTGTTATCTTATCCGAACGAATAAAAAAGCGGGCTCATAAGCACACGTGCACGCATTTCGGAAAAAAAAAAAAAAAAAAAAAAAAGAACAGGGAACAAAATAAAATGAAATATGAAACAAAATGACAAGACATTCAAACGGGGAAAGGCGCCAAATGTGTACATATGTCTTCCCCCCACATTCAGCAAGCATGCGCACGAAAGGTAAAATAGCGAACTAAAATGGCATAGCACATTTCATTTACGTTTTTCATGGGAATGAATATTCTCGTGAAAAGCGTTTTGTTACGTGTGCACTTTCATTTTGACAGTTGAAATGGTCAAAACAGGGGAAATAAATAAGGGAAGGAAAATTCCCTTTATGTGTACACTTTAGCCTCTTTACAAAAATAAGCCCTTTGCATGAAACGTGAGGGGGATGGGGTGGGAAGCGAAATGCATAGCGTTTCAACGGGAAGATGTGGTTTAGGCCCACATTACCCGGTTTGCACGCCATTTGGTAAATCGTAAATTTTTTTTTTTCCCCCCACGCCTCTATTTCGCCTTATCGCTATTGCAAATTGGCTCGAAGTTGCGTGGGCTCTCAAGGGGAATACCACCTTTATAGCCTCACTGCAGCGCTATTTATTTATTATGCTTTTTTCCTTTCTTTTTTTTTTTTGTTTTCTTCTCCTACGCATAGCTTCTTAAAAATGGAGGGCGTGGAGTGTCATTCAAGGGGCAAGCGCGCATAGGCACACATACATGCCGTTACACTGTTATGCTGCTGTACCGCTCTATCGATACACACCCGAGTGTAAATACAAATTTGTGAAGCCAAATTCAATGCAAGCCGCTCCAGAGAATAGGATAAAAGGGAGACAGACCTGTGCTGGGACACATGCGAAAACAAGGTAATGGGAAAATTAAAACAAAATTATGTGCAAACTGCGGGGGAGAGCAACATAGGCACAAAGTTCTAGGATTAAAAATTACCGAAAAAAGAAAAAAAAAGGAGTGTATCCAAATAAATGGGCCATAAATAACGTGCATCCAAAAAAAAAAAAAAAGAAAAAGAAAAAAAGAACATTATGAACAACCAAGCAGACAAAAAAAATTAAAAAAAATTATGCGCTTTGATAAAAGTAGCCTTTAAAAAAATTTTAAAAGTATTCCAAATTGGGTGACAATTATTTAAAAAAAAAAAAAAAAAAAAGGGAAAACATTTGTTGGTGGCCATCGCCACAGCTGTGTGTGGTTGACAGTGGGGCCGCCCTTCCTTCCTCGCGGCCTTTGGGACTTCCTGCAACGCAGGGCGGTGCTACTTAAAGATGGGATTACGCATGTTGAGGAGGGACTGTTCGTACGTCTTGATATCCAAATTCTTGCAGTAGGGCTTCTGATGTAGGCTGGGGAAAGGCAGCTGGCTCTTGTCATATTCCAACTCATGAATTTCGTCAATGTCTATTTCTACGCAGGTCTTATCACGACAGCACTTATTATTCATGTTGCACTTTTTTTTGAATTTATTCATACAATTTAAAGACAAGGGGGATTTATCTTCTTTTAATTCGTAAAATGTAATGAAATTTTTGCAAGTAATTTTTTCATATATGGTAATGATAACATGCTTGAATATTATAAACATCATTCTTATACAATTGAATGCATCATTTATGGTGAAAATGATATTTTGAAAGGCATAAAACAACATGAGTAAGTGTATATGTAGATTATTACAAACATAGTGATAACAAAAAAAATTAAAGTTATATTCAGTTACATCTTTGTTTATATATATATTGTAATAAATTGATAAGATATACAGACCCATAATTAACACGTAGTGAGCAAATATGTAGCAAAATATTTTATACAATATCCCATACATTGTTAGGATTACACTAAATTTATTATTGTCCTTTATAATGATCCTTAAAATGAATAGTGAAAGTACAATGATAGATATTACTAGCAATTCTCCAAAGAAGGAATATATTGCATATTTATATATTTTGTTCATTTCCATATAAATGTACTGCATTACGTATTCATCATGGACTAAATTTACTATGTCCATTTCTATGATTTGGTTATTAACTTGGGGCGTTTCTTTTGTGCTTCCTTTGCTGCTTTTTGCTGCGAGGTTGGAAGAATTACCCGTTACCAGAGCATCGTCTTTATTTTTTTGTTTACTATCCACGTCGTTTTCATCCTTCCAGGGAGAAGGCGAATTGGCCTCCTTTTGCTTTTCCTTTTCCTTAGCTTCGGAACTACCCCTAAAGAGGATGTCCAAGTATTTCCTTTTTTTTTCATTATTTTGCAATACTTCATTTTGGCTACTTAGTGTGTTCACATGCGCATCCGCGCTATCCCCATAATACACTCTAGGTGCCCCATTTTTAGCAGGGTATAGTGTACTTCGAATAATTTCCTTTAAATTATCGTGTTCCCAGGAGTGCCCATTTTGCGAATTTATTTCGAATTCGTTATTTGTGTGTGGGAAGTGTGTTATCAGGTAAATCCCAATCATGATGTTGATAAACAAAGACATTAATCTCAAGTACAGTGCCAACTTCTCCTTGTGGCGCTTATTATTTTTATATATCATTTCTGAGGTATAATAGTACGCATCGTTATAGTATGACATTTGTCTAGACAATTGTTTTTCATCTTTAAAAATGTTTTGTTGCTCGTTTATATTATCCATAGACAGCATGAAATATTTTGAGATGTTACTAATGTTCCTTTTGATGGGACCGTTGCTATGGTCCTCTTTATAGTCCTCATTTACGTTATGGATTTTATTTTTTTTTCCCTTTTTGTACAGCTTATTTCTGTATTTTTTGTCTTTCATCGAGGTCATATTATTTTTCGAGCGAGATGTTGCTTTTTTTCTTAAATTCCTTGATTTTCCTTTTTTTCGCGGGACGCTTCCCTGCACGATTATGTCTTCTTCGTTTGCGCTCGCCAAGGCATGGACGTCGCTGTCCGCAGCGCAGTCGCCTTCATCTTCTTCTTCCTCCTCCTCGTCCTCATCGTCGTCCCCCTCTTCATCGTCTTCATTATATTCGTCTTCCTCCTCATCATCCTCCGCCCTTTCATCTTCTTCTTCTTCCTCCTCCTCATGATCACATTCGTACTCTTGGTGCTCCACTTCTCCCACCTGATCGCTCCCATTCCTTCCCCTGTAATACCGGTACACCTTTTCGTTATACTCACTAAAACTGACTTTCTTGTCGCAGCTTTCATTTTCCAAATCCTGGCTCTCTAGCAATTCGTACCTACTGTCATTTTCGTCATAATTCATGTCTTCCTTAAATACATAGCTGCTAATGAACGAATATATAGTTAATAAATTGCTGTTATTTTGTTCATCCTGTTGTTCTTTATTATTTTTTGTAGACCCATTTTTTGCACTCCTCAATGTATCGTTTCTGTCATAGCTGCTGGCTGCTTCCATTTCTGTTTCTGCATTTGGATTGCGTGGGTTTTACCACTTTGTCTTCGGACTTGTGGAGCTTACACTGACTCAGTTGTGTGCAGCGCTTGTTCAGGGACGCCACGAGTGAACATGCACGGGAAAAAATGGGCTATGTGGATGCTCGGTATGGTTGTCCATACGCTGTACACATATGAATTAAGTGTACGTTCCTCTCTCTTCAGCCGTCTACGTTCCCCAATTTTCCTGTCCCAATGTCTGACGTTTCGCTTGCTAGTACTGTCAATTTTGATTTTATTGCCTTGCCGCTTAAAACGTTGGATGGTTCGAAAAAAACATTGGACTGAAATGGACATAACGGCGGGGGAAAAAAAAAAAGAAAAAACAGGAAAAAATGGGAAACAATGAGAAATATTTAAATATAGTAAAAAAAAAAAAAAAAAAACAGGAAAATAGAGGAACGGAAAAAGACTCCCACTATGCTGGAAAAACACACACGAAAAAGTGCGTGGAAAATTCCTCGCTAGAATGGTGCACAAACATGCATTTCAGTTTTTCCTTTTTTTTTCCTTTTTTCAAAATGCGACAACATGGCCAGTGAAAAAATTGTGAAGGAATTTTCTACACTGACATGGGATTTTTATGCGCTGGAAAATTAGCCCGAGACGGGATATTTCACAAACTGTACGTCTGCGGAAATTGACAGTTGGGTAGTGTGTACCAAGTTGAACTAGTACTATTGGTTAATAGACAAAGAATAAAAAAAAAGAAGAGAAGAAAGAGAAAAGAAAAAGAAACTCAATTAAATAATTAAATGAATAACAAACTGAAGAGAATGTAAGAACGAAACAAAGAAGATTTCACCATATATGTTAAAAAAAAAAAAAAAACAAAAGTTACGAAACAGCTGCGAAAGGATTTGTAGGGGTCGAATTAAATAAAAAAGCGGTGTGTCCTTTTTTTGCACATTGGCATGGTAATGTGTTCGTATGAATTTTTTCCCGTTCTTTCGCAAAAACGTTGTTTATAGCGGGGGAAAGATGAGGGAATTCAGTGCGGAACCTACGGGGACGACATTATGTGGGTTAATGCATTATAGAGGCGCATGTGTGTAGGGACACCTTTGCGTAGAGCGCTGCGTGTACAGAAGAGCGTGCATATAATCGAGCGCGCCGATGAACAGATTCCCTCACAGCCATGTTTTTATCAGACCCATGAAGCATGCGTAAGTTTGTAATGCGAAATTTGCATTGCGCTTAACTGCTAACATGTTGGACATGTATGCACGCCATCATTCGTGGTGAACAGGGAAAGTGATATCCTGGGTGAAGACTAAACAATGAGTGACGGTTAGTACTCCAAATGGATTTCTTAAACATGAGCACAGTGACTATCGATTGGAAAAAGGAAGGAACTGAGGCGAAGTCAAACTGAACAGCCGTACGTTTATAAGGGCGTAAGAATTGACAGTATTCCATTGTTTTTTAAAAGGGGTCCATTTGCATGTTGAGTTTTTAAACACGCGTAATGCCCTGCAAATGAAAGTAGGAGCTCCTCTTGGAAAAAAATTTGCAAGCGATCGCTCAAGAGGGAAATGTTCATATGATTATGTATATATACACATGTGTACGTGGTGTGGGGGTAATGGCAAACAAGGCCGTACACACACGGCACTGGGAAAATACACATGCTGCGCAGTTATCCCAATTTACACATGGGGAAAAACCATTCCTTGCAAATAACACATGAAAAAAAAAAAAAAAAAAAAAAAAAAGTATTTTAAAGTAAACTTCCTCAGGAGGGGGCATAAAATGAACATGCTATATATTATGATAGTAGTGTTAAAATCGAATTCATCATTTTTTGTGTTTATCGCGCGCGTCCATAAGTGCTCTGCCGTGTTGCGCCCAACAAATCGCGCAGCATTTTGAAAAAGATAATACCACGACTCGGTGGGGGTCAAAAAGGGAAGCGCAGCACCGCACGTGTACAGGCCAGTGCATGTGTCAGTAAATTTATATGTATATATATATATATATATGTATATGTGTGTTTGTATTTTTTTTTTTTTTTTTTTCCTTTCTGCGCATTAGTGTTCCACGCCTGATGAATTAAAAGGAGGGGAAATGCATGGTGTTCCCCACTCCACAGAAAAATTCTTCACTTCAGAACGAATGTTTCGTTCCGTGTCTGCTTCAGTCCTGTGTAACAATTTGGCGAATGCATGTGTGCGTGATTGTTTTCTTTTGTCCTTTTTGGAAGTTGCCAAAGTTTAGACAACTTGGGTGCACACGAAGAACGGGAAGAATTCGCCTGCCATAATTTGTGCCTTTTTACATTTGAACTTTTTTTTGTATTTACTTTGGGAACAAAGTTGGTATTTACGAAGATGAGTGAGTATTTTTTTTTTTTTTTTTTTGTCTGTGTTACTCTCTCCCCATGCGTAGCGTTGTTTAGACACCTTTCTCATTTTTGATCAACCCATCCGCCGTATTCTCTTTGTAATGTTTATTTAAAAAAGAACAAATTTCATTTTTTTTCATTGAAAAAAATGCACAACATGGATTGTACGGACGAGTCTAGTGAAGATATACATTCCAAAAAAGGAAACTCTTCTGACGGCTCAGAGGAGCAAAGTGTGGAGTGCACGGAAGGGGAAGACGAATCAGGGAAGGAGTTGCGTGCCGTCGACAGCAAGAAGTAACACTTCATGAGTGAGCGTGAGAAAAAGCCCAAATAGGAACAGACGCGCGTGTGTGCATCTGTGCGTGTGTGTTGCAACGTATGTGCACAATCATGTGTATCTGTTGCAAAAGAAAAAACAAAATGCCCATTTCCTCTGTCCCCTCGCCAGAACGTACCGATGCGCTAGCTGCGCAAGAGCCGTGGAGGATGTCCTGATTTTTTCATGCAAGCATTTAATCTGCCTAATTTGCGCCAGCGAGCAACTGCATAAAAAATACGAGAAATGTATGAAGGCATGTTCAGAGCATGAAGAAAAGACGAAGAAGTCGCGAAATCACAAAATAAGCGAATGCTTTTTAAACTCCAAGGGAGTAGCCAGCGCAATAGATAATGACAAATTAAGTGAATTATTCAAAAAAGAAAAACTTGGTTACATCACATGCTACATATGTAATGTTAAGAATAAACTTGCCTTGGACACAATTGAGTTATTGACGAAGGTTGGGTTATTTTCCCATGACGTTTTGAATGTCCACAAGTTTTTTTTCAATTCGAACAAAAATGGGGCATATCAAAATGGGAAAATTAGTGAAGACCATATTAAAAAAAGGAGCGTTCAATTTAACGATACGCTAAAGAGCGATGTTGTTATAAATGAAAATTTGAACAAGCTACTAGTATCAAGTAGCATGTACAAATATTTAGACGAGTGTACAGATGATATGACTAAGTATTCATACATATGTAACGTGTGTTCATTGAACGAAGCTGTGATATACTGCAACGATTGTGTAGAGTACTTGTGCAAAGAATGTTGTAGCAGTATTCACCAAGAGGATATCATAAATAAGGTAAATTTTACGGATAAGAAAAGTCATGATTATTATGAAATTAATAAGAAAGGGGTACATCTTAAAAAAATTGTAAAATCGCCAAAAAAATTCCTCAACATAACGAAGGAAGACATTGAAATATTGCATGATACAGATGGAGATAGCTCGGACAATAAATTCGTAGATGAAAATTTACGCGAAAAAAAATTTGGAGATAATTACACCAAGGCCATTTACAAAGTGTACGATGATGATAATTCCGATTTTGACAACTATGACGAGAATCACTTTTATGAGAGAAAGAAGAAGCTCATAGATAGGGAATATACAAAGAAGAAGAGGATGCACATTTCGAACAAGTTGAATGATTTGGTGGAGGACATGAAAAATGGAAGCAGCTATGACAGTGAGAATTCTTCCGCGAAGGGCACCACAGGGTCAGTCGGCCGCACCGGGGGAGGGTTCAAAGGTGGAACAGCAACAAGTGGCAAGTATCATGGGAAAGGGAAGGGAAAGAAGAATCGCTCTAAATATCAGTACACACCTAGTGCGAGAGCGAAGAACGCGTGCAATACTGTACAGGGTAAGAAGAAGGATCAAACGGGGCAAGTCGAGGGAGAGGAAGGAATATGCCTTTTGTCAAACAGCACAGTTTCCAACGTAGATGTTAGTTCTAGTGAAAATTCCATCTCGTCAGCCAACAATTCCGAAAGGGAAATATGCATAACGGATATAAGCAAGGGAGCACATAAAATGGATAGCAATATTATCCTGCAGGATGAAAGTGTAAATAGTAAAAACTTCACAACGATCGAGAATATCAGATGCAGCCAGCATTATAATTACCCAATCCAATATTTCTGCCACACATGTTGCAACAAATGCTTCTGTTCTGAATGTGCAATTAATGGAGTACACACAAGTGAGTGTAACATTGAAAATATAAACACGGCCTTCATAACGGTATTAAATAATTACTTAATAAAATGGAACGAAATTATAAATGAGCTAATAAACGATTTAGGGAGAAATTTTTATGAATCTCTGGAAGATATTAAAAACGATTGGTCTCTTACCCTAAGCGAATGTTACTATGACTTGAACAGTAAAATAGGGTACATCACTAATAACTTGTCAAAAAAGGAGAAAGAAATTTTCGAACAGCTCGATGTGTACATGAATACTTTTAAGAGGGAAAACATAAACTATATCGAACTGCTAGACTCTAAATATGAGGAGATTGAGAAAACGATTAACATCATTCGGGATAATAAATTTCAACATAATCCAATCGAGATGATAAAATTTTATAGGAAAAATATTAACGCCATTGATAGGACTATTTTGGCAAATAATGATTTTAAGCCTATAGAAGATTTGTCAAAAATTCGACAGAGTAAAATTTTTTACATGGATTTGTACGCCTCGCAGATAGTCAGTTATATGCGGTACTTGCAGGCGTTTTTGAAGCCCAGCGGTCCCAATTTACCGTCTCCCTGGGGCCGGGGTGCAGGCAGTCCGGCTGTGCCTCGAAGTCCGTGATTGCGCGTGTGGGCGCGAGAATACATGGGTAGGTGCGTACGTATCCACGTGCGTACTTCTCTGCATATACCTGCATACCGCTAGGACCACGCCCAATATGAGGGGAAGATTAGCCCCATCTATGGCGAGGTGTAATACATGCCTTGAAGAGCAACGCGCTTGTAGAGGGCACCCCTTCGCGCTGCAGCACTTTTTCAAATAAGGAATGAGAGATGAACACATCTCGCTGTACACCTTTTTACACCCCCATAATGAATGTCTCCAGAAGAGTCAAAACAATGAAGCTGGGTCAGCATTTTAATGCCTATCGGAAACAAAAAAAAAAGTACCCACAAGAAAATACAAGCGCAGAAAAAAGTGCAAGGGCAAGTGCAGCATCAAGTGCAGGCGCATGCACAAATGGTGAGCACCGAGTACGCCAAAAATTGCCTTCAAAAAAAAAAAAAAAAACGCGTACAGGGAACGGAAGCCAAATGGAACATGTTGCACCTAACAACGTCGAATGTAAATAAGGAGATAAAATACTGTTGTTGCGTGTGGAAGAGAAAATTTTCCTTTTTTTCGAAAAGACATACATTTTTTACAAAACTTATAGTCCCCATTTGTCACGTACATGGTAACGGATTTTGTCTTTTTAATATTTCTTTGTGTGGTGGTCAGGGTACTTTTGTTTTCTCAAAATGGAAGGAACAAAATGGTGAAAAAAAGGAAAAAAGGCGTACACCTATACAAAGGCTCAAAAAGGTGTACGCCTTTTTTCTGAATTTTCTGTTTTTTGGTCACTCATGCATTTCAATTTTTAATATTCACGTGTATCATTAAGTTTTTTATTAATCCTTTTCTGCGAAAGGTTTTCTACGAAAGTTTTTCTACTGCATTTTTCCTATTAAGTTTTCCCATACAAATTTCCCATTCACTTTATCCATTCAAATTTCCCACTTAAACTTCTTCTTAAAATTTTAACATTTTACACTTTATTTTAAACTTTAAGCACAAAATAAGTAAAAAAACAGCTCTTGGCCATTTTGTTTAAAAAGGTGTAGCATTTTTTTACCCCAGCAGTGTAGTTTACACGGACCAGTGGAGTGATATCGATCAAAGTAACAGTTGCTCATTCTTAGTGTTTTCCTTCGCGACGTGCTTGCATAAATAGATGATTTTTCGTGTATTGGTATATACTTGCATAGAGAGAAGCATTCGTAGATTGGTGCATATTTAGTAGATACATATGAGCATACACAGATAGGTGCATGGATTGATAAGTGAACACAGATACATATATGCTTAGATAGATACATAGATGCTTATATAAATACATAGATGCTTATATAGATACATAGATAGATACTGATATAGATACGTAGATACATACATAGATAGATACATCTGTGCGCACATGGTGTATACGTAGATAAATACTTATATAGATGCTTACATAGATACGTAGATGCTTGTATAGATACGTAGATAGATACACACATAGATGCATAGATACTTTTATAGATACATAGATAGATACTTAGAGAGATACGTAGATGCTTGCATAGATACGTAGATAGTTACACACGTAGATGCTTATATAGCTACATAGATACTTATATAGATACATAAATACATAGATACATAGATAGATACTTATATAGTTACGTAGATAGATGCTTATATAGATACACGCATAGATGCTTATATAGATACGTAGATAGATGCACAGATAGATGCACATATACATACGTACATAGCTATATTGACAAATCTGTTGATAGGTACACTGAGAGGTACATACACACCTAGGCAGGCAACACACTTTACGCCAAAGACCGTTGAACCTTCCTTTTTCAAGTGTACGCCTTGCCCAAACATACATAAGAGAGTAACAAAAAAACAAAAAAAAAATTGAGAAAAAATATAAAAAAATAAAAAAAATAATAAAAAAAAAAAATAAAAAAAACGGTAACCTTATAGAGTTCTACCTTTTTCATCGTGTTCTTAAAATGTATACACATATGATGAGTGCCGGACAAAATTTATATGAAGGGGAAAATATCCCCGTGGACGTACAGTGCAAAGAACAACCTGAGTGTGTGTTGGGTAGATGCAGTGATGGTGGTTCTAGAAATAAAGTTATGTCCAAAAAGAGAAGAAGTATGAGAAGAAAGAGAAAAAGTATGAGAAAAAAGGGAATAAAAATTAGTCGAAAATATAAGAAACATATGATTCAAAAGAAGAGAGTGCATAAGAGAAAACACAAAAAACGTAGCGCTGGTAGAAAAGGGGGTCGTCCTGGCAACGGCTTATTGACAGGTGTTGAAAATGCTGCGGAAACAACTCTCCTCCCAGCCTGTGTCAATCAGAACAGAGGTCAGTGCAATGTGAGTAGAACAAGTCCAACAATCCATGTGTGCGCACAAACTTCTTATAGACAGATTCGTACGCAAAATGGGGTGCAGAATGTTTATCAAGTAAACGTTGAAAGTAAGGTACATGTGGCAATCCAATATAACGCTAGCGGTAGCCCACAGGTTTCTGGGCCTATTCAACAAAGGGGCGACACCAATGGGTTGAATGCTAATTCCTACGGGTGCGGATTGAACAACAGGAGTGTACCATGTCCTAACGGGACACACGGAGGAGTCGCAACTCCGAAGAGAACTGTAGCTCACAACGGAATAGCAGCACACAACGGAATAGCAGCTCACAACCGAATGGCAACACACAACGGAATGGCAAGTCCTAACAGAACTGTACCTCACAATGGAATAGCAGGTCACAACCGAATGGCAACACACAGCGGAATGGCAAGTCCTAACAGAA